AATGTGATCGAATCAAACGCGAATGTAAATGCACAGATCATGAATTTGACCTTTCGAATAGCAAGACTGAGACAAATCAATTTCGATTGAGTGGATTGGAAAAATTGCAAAATTGGCCGGGAAAACCTATAATTTCCCTTCTCTTCTGCACGTTTAAAAGTTCTGCTTTTCTTCTATTTTTATTCCTCTTCTCCTCCTTCCTTTATATTTTCTATTTACTTTATCCTTCTTCTTCGTTCTTCTTCTAGGCCTGATGTAGATCAAATATGGACGTTCAACTGAAAAGAGCATAGAATTTGCCCAATAGACCATTTCATAGTTAGCACATGATAAAATGTGTATCGAGTGTTCACTACGAAGATTCCAGTCTAACTCAAGCTTTTGCTTCCTCTAGCTGAAGTCGTATGTATATGTACAATTAAACTTCTTTAAACTTGAATCACACAGCAATTATTCATTAAGTCATTAGTCACAAATTAATTACATTGCATTATTTCGAAATATATCATATATATATATGCTTATATTGAAACGGACAAGTAAAATGGCAATGAAATCATTCAAACTCATGGTGGCCATTTCATGACGATTGAGACAAAATCCTAAAACACTTACCATTTTAAAGATCAATCTTCAAGGGCTTCCAAAAATGATCAAACAGCACGATGATAAACTGACGTCTTTCTCGGATAAAAAGTATCAGATTCGAAAACGAAGAATACAGTTGCTTGGTGACAGAAAAGCTGGCAATATTAATCGTAATATGCACACTGAAGGCTCTAGCTATCGATCAACGGAGAACAATTGAAATCACAGGAGGCATATGAATTGATGTCTACTTTCGACCAAGTGTGAATGGTAAATGGTACGTGATTTTCTTTCTCTGCAGGCGGTAAGCTCGTACGAGAATGGGATCGATATGCATAGACAGATTATACTGACAATACTGCCAACTGGTAGATCAAAATTATGATGATGATTGGTGTTTTGAAATTATCGGATATTGTGATTGCTCTGCAAGAGATGATAATGATGATTGTTCGGTTTTGGTTTTTGCTTGAAAAGGCACCTGTTACTTTAGGCACTTGCTGTAATTTCCTCTCTGTCTCTGTCTCTCTCTCTCTCTCTATTTTTTAAATATTTTTTTAATTTAAAGATTATTTGTACTTGCAATAATTGGTTCAACATTTCAAGTTACTGTTATAGGTTGTTCATCCATCTATTATCATTTATTAATATATGTATATAACTTTAGGTATGAACAATAATGTTAACTTTATCTTTTATCATTTGTATTGTACAATCATATGATCATTCCTGTTTGTATGCACATTTTATGTAAACATTGCATTATTGGTCCCTGGACTACTGCATTGTACACTGTATATGTTGATATTAATAAACCGAAATTGAATTGAATTGACAAATTGAATGATTGTTGTTTCTTTGATTGTTTGTTTTTGTTTTTGTTTGGGAAAACGCACGTGATCTCAAAAACATTATACCTTTGGATCGTATTAGGGGATAGATCCTTGAGATAGCTATTAGCCCAGAAAATATTTGTTTGCTTATTTTGTTATGCTTTTGTTTGAGAAAACGCACGTCATCTCATAAAACATCAACATTTTGGATCAAATTTAGGGGATAGCTCTGTTAGATAGGTATTAGCGCTGATTAACTTGTTTTGAGGAGTGGGGCATACATAATTTTTATTGTGAAAATGCATGTTATGCTGATAAACTGCTAAAAGTGGATAGGAAATTATGAGATTTGGAATACCTATCAGCGCCAATGATTTTTAGAGGGGTGTGGTTGCACGTTACCTTAATGGGATAGTTATTTATAGCATCGACCATTTTTCTTTTCATCACATTACCTTCATGAATATCTCAGGCATGAAAATGTCTGAATATTTCATGACGACGCCCGTTTTATTATGTCTCATATTTTGCCTGAACTTAAATAAGGCAGAATGACTTGGAATTGAATACACTTAAGCCTACGTCCTTATTTTCTGGATACACTACAATTTATTCGAATTTTCAAAATGAAAAAGGGTCGACTACTCTGAACGAGGTTTCCAATTGTGAAAATTAACAATTCTCTCTTCTTTTCGGATGAAATAACCCCATTTCATCTTCCGATTTGTCATGATATACCTTTAAGAGACGAGCATTTGGAGAAACGAAGCTCAGAATTATGATCTGTCGGAATAAAGAATCTTTGTGATTAATACACCTTGGGAATTATGAACCTTTGGAATTATACGTATCTTCAAAATCATGAACTATCAGAATTATAAGCCTCCGACAAAAAACGAAATAAACTCGTTTTAGTAAGTGAATTGTCCGACAAGGTTGCATTCAGCCTAACCAAATTGATGAATAATTGTGAACATCATTTTTGTCATCAATGATGTTCATCATAATTGTCCCCACCGAAACTTTCTTCAAAATAAACAAAAACAAATAATTACTTTGCTCACAAAAGAAGGCTAATGGTAATGAAATTTACATTCTACAACTTCATGATGAATTTAGAGATATATAGAAATTATGAGACTTGGAATACCTATCAGCGCCAAAGATTTTTAGAGAGGTGGGTTTTTTTGTTTGTTTGTGGAAAACACACGTTACCTTAGGAACATGTTGAGTGGATCGAAGACATGGGGTACAGGCGTAGGATTGATAACGTCGACCACTTTTGTTGTCGATGAAATGCACGTCACGATAGAAACAAGTTGGTATTTAGAGGCATGATACATTACAAAAAACAGAACAGACCGTTGTTCACTGTCAGACAATGTAATATCGACCTTCATTACATAGATAATGTGATATCGACCTTCATCACATTACCTTCATGAATATTTCAGGCATGAAAAAAAAAGTCTGAATATTTCATGAATACATTAATATTTATTAATCATTTATTTAAATGAAACTGAATGACAAACATAAATTATGTAAACGTAATTTGATTTATTGATTTGATTTGATTTATTTATTTCTGTTTGAATTTCTTTTTCTTTTGCATTTTTACAATTATATAGCAAACAAACCATTGCAAATTTTACACATTTCAAAAGAATATGTAATATCGAATAAAGTAACTAATCGAAAACATCAAACAGGAGGGTTGACAAAGTAAGCAAAGCTTGATAGCATGACTACCCTCAATGGATACATTAAAATACGAATATGGTGGAACAAATATTGGTAAAAGGGGAAAGAGAGAGAGACAGACTCTGTGTGCCCATGCCTTGAGCCATAATACATGGCCGTCCAAGAAACCCTGTGCAGTGTAGGCTACATAATTTAAGAGTATAAGATAGTAAGAGTTTCTTGTTTGCTCTAGATGTCTGATGTGGTTAATAATAGTAATATTGACTGCCTAATTCAGGGCAATACGACTTGTCATATATCACCCTCACCTTCGGTTCGGGCGATATATGTCGTATTGCTCAGAAGACAGTCAATATTACTTAAATATAGAATCAGTAATCCATTAAATTACATTTGATAGGTAGTATGAATCAGGCGCGGATCCAGGATTTCTTAGGGGAGGGTGCCCAACTTTTATTTTTTGTTTTGCTCCAGAAAATTTGAAAATCGCGCCAGCCGAAAAGTCGCTCAGTGGGGGTAGTGAGCACATTTTTTTGTTGGTCCTCGAAAAAAAAAAAAATTGCACCCCCCCCCCCTTGAGCACCAGGGGGGGGGGGGGCCCAACCCCCCCCCCCCCAAAAAGGTAAAAATCACGTGTTTTTACATGATTTTTTTCTTAAGGGGGGGGGGGGGGAGGCCGGCCCCCCCCCCCCCCCTGGATCCCCCACTGGTATGAATATTGCTACCAACATTATGATAACAAGTTTGGAAATTTATCAGATATCAAGGGAGCTGTCATTTGTTTGTGCTAACAGATATTATATCCTGCATCAACAATTTGTTGGCTTTTGATTAGTTGAGAGCTCGTCACATGACCAGAAATATTTTAAGAAAGTACTATATGAGAGTTCTATTTGGGAGTACTATTAGGGAGTTGAATAAAAATGTGATTTTTTTTTTAATTGAATTTTTTTCTTTTCTTCAAATCGTAATTGAATGAAAGCAAATATTTTAAATCTTTTTAGATAAAAATTGACGTTTTTTTTTGTTCAAATTGACATTTTTTTTTTGTTCAAATTTTTTGGATAACCACCCCTACGATAACCACCCTCTAGGACAACTACTCCTAGACTATAGGACAACTACTCCCTAGGGCAACCAACCCCGGAACAATACCCCCGGACAACGATAATCTAGGACAACTACCCCCGGACAACTATCCTAGGGAATGAATGTCTGCATGGGCGGTAGTTGTCCTAGGGGGTAGTTGTCCTAGAGGGTGGTTATCCTAGGGGTGGTTATCCGGGGTGGTTGTTCAGGGGGTAGGTGTCCTAGAACCTACACGCATTTATTGTACTCTCTGTTATCCCATGCACGTACTCTCGGCCTCTCTCCCTTTCCCTCATAATAGCTCCGGTAGTATAATTATAACTCGCTGGACTATTGAATATTACAGATTTTTGAGGAAACTGATTTACACCCCCCCCCCCTCCCTGTGAGTGGAAAAAAAATCACCCCAAAACACACGTATTTTTAACTTTTTTTGCCGGGGGGGGGGGGGAGGGGGGCTTTTTCATTTTTTGTTTAAAAAAAGGTTTAAAAAAATAACGTTACCATCTTTTTTTAACCTGTTTTTTTTTTTGCCAGGGGGCAGACCTCGCCTGTCTTTAGGTAATCAATCCTCAATCATTTAATTGTATTAAAGCTTAATCCAGTGAACCCCAGTGTAGATGTGATTACATCACAACTCTCTCCCTTTATCGCGCGTACGCGTACACTGCCTTAATTGTAAGCAAAGACGTTTAAATATAATTACTAGATTGTAAGCGAAAGTGGGGGAATCCCCTTTTTTCTTTGGTTGGATATTTGGGGCGGTGTGATCGCGAGGTCACGTCAACAACCCTGATAACCGTTGCGTGTATTGTATGCAAATGATCTTTGACCACGATATCAGCTGTTACGTTCGACCTGGCCTGGTGTAATGCTACCATTATAAGTCCTATAGTTTAGAGCTCAGAGTCGCTGGTTGCTTTGCTCGTAGTATGCATATAGACTGAACACTTTAGGTTGTTTTTTCATGTATGTAAGGCTTGTAATCTAGGAATCCGCCGTCACAGACAGTAAGAGGTAAGCAATTTGCATTCAACCAGTCGTTTATGTGAGTGATGTTGCCATTTGGTCGACATTATATTTTCTCCGCTTTTAACTTCAAGTTGTCATAGGCTCAGTCAAAGTCTCACTCATTGCAGCAGCGCAGTGGCAGGCATCGACGAGAAAGATAGCCAATGCACTGCATTGCCCCCTCGTGATCTTGCTTGATCTTGTCGAGAAAGGCCGAGCTGAGACTTTATCACACTTGCCCGAAATGTCAAAATTTTTGAAAGAAGAATTATCAGCTACCGAAACATCAAATATTTGAGCAGTCATTCTATTAATTTGTGCACCTTAATCTGAATCTGTACAGTTTGTATGAATCTGAATTGTTTTTGATGCAATGTTGAACAAATAAACTTCACCTTTAACTTTAATAGTATATGATAACATATATAATGTAATGTTTAATGTATGAAATATCATATAAAGATATTATTATGATATATAATATATGATATTATTATGATATATAATATGTAATATATGAAATATGATATGTAATATATGAAATATGATATATGTAATATACAATTAATGTATACTGGGTGTGATATGATATTAAGAATTTTAAGATATACAATATGCAATGTAATGTATGTAAGATATAATATGTGACCATAAAGAAGTGTTGCAATGAGGGATTTATTCTGAAGTTTACATTCCAATTTTTGTTTTGCAGAAAATGTTTAAGTTGAAGTTTTTGTGGCAGTTCTTGGGGCTGTTCTCACCATGCTTTGTATCCGTCCTCCCAACTCCTGATGTGACAAGTATTTGTGGTAAGCTTCTATGACATTTTTTTAAAAAGACATGTCAGATTGACTATTGAACACTTAATTCTCTAATTCCGTAATTCCCCAAGGCTGGCAACATAAACCACCGCCATGGGTTAATTGAACAATCATTTAATAATGCTGTCTTTGTGTTTTGAGTTCTTGAATCACGTATTGTAACTAAACAAACAAGGTCTTCGGAAAGTACTCATTTATTAATTATTAATGATTCATGCTTCACATAGAGAGTATACTTTATCTTTATTGATATTAAATTGGGAGAATATGAATGATATTCGTGGGTGAATAATCGACGTACTTAAAATAAAAGGCAGATAGTACTTTGGCCGAGAAAATGATTCAATTGTTATATTTTGAACCTAATGTTTGTTCAGCATAATCATATCATCACTCATCATCATCATCATCATCATCATCATCATCACTCACTACCATGCACCACCATCATAATCATCACCATCATCATCACCATCATTATGTTTATCATCATCATCGTCATCATCATCATCATTATTATCATCATCATCTTTATCATCATCATCATCATCATCATCACCATCATCATCATCATCATCATTATCACCATCAATCATCATAATCACCATCATTATCATCATCACCACCACCACCACCACCACCACCCACTCTGTCACCGGTTTTCACCACCACCATCTTCTTATTGAATTCCTCTGCTTGATGAAGAATTGTGCTTTAGCACAGGTTATCAGGAAACAGAAGCCCTGCCAGAGATGGTCTAAAGATGGAGACCCAAGAGGAATGAAAGACAGAAATAAAGTGTGGAGAGACCATTGAGAGACTCTATGTTGTTGGCTGTAACAAATCTTTAGTAACATAGTTATCCCTGTCAAAGTAGAACCAAACAAAATTGCAATTCATGAACTCAGATCACAAGTGGCCCAAATATTTTGCTCCATGTTCTAATTAACTCAGGTCCAGAGACCAACCAGACCCTAGCACAGAGAATCCAGTCCTCCCAGTGGAAGGCTTCAGACTGGCTCCTGGACCAACAGACAGAGGACTGGGGATGGGACTTTCTAAGCACCGGGTCGGCCATCTTGTCTCTTCAGCTCGCCAACGAGACATGGAAGAATGACCTAGAATCAATGGAGGCTCAGCTCACCATCAAACAACTCAATATTGAGGTGCTGCGTGAAATATCACACAAGTATGAAGAATACCGTAGATGAAGGAGACAAACCCCTGCCCCCCCCCCCCCGACTCAGTGTTATTTAGGGTACACATATTTATGCGTGTTCCCTCCTTTTGAAAACACCCCCTAAGTCCGGTGTGTAAAGTCAATTTTGTGTATGTACGAGCCAGACTTTGGTGCGTGAAAAGTACCCCTTTACCGGACATTTTAGTAACAAGCATGCGGTCAAACCAAAGGCTATCTAAGCAGGAAACTATGGGTAAATCTTGGAGTGATTTCAACCAGGATGTATCAGAGCCCACTTCCTGACAGATAACAACCAATAATCATGTTTGTTTTTTCCCTTTGAGGGTATAACAGATTTCTACTCATTTCTGAAACTTCCTTTTCTTTCAATGTATAAATTTAATATTTGGGGTTGCTCCAGAGGTGAAATTAGGTGACCCCACTGCTCCCATTCCCCTGTTACTGTCGAGCCCTGCCAAAGTATAGTAGTGCTGTACAGATAATTGAACCCATGACCTTGGCATCCCCAGGCTAGTGTCCAAATTCTGACACATCCTTTTCTTTCAATACAATCATAAGATTGCTGTATATTATTCTTGATCGTAGTGATAAAAGTTTTATTCCTCGGTTTGAAATTTTTAGGGTCTGTGTGCATAAATCTGTGTTTAAATTTAATATTTTGGGTTGCTCCAGAGTTGAAATTAGATGACCCCACTGCACCCATGCCCCAGTTACTGTCAAGCCCTGCCAGAGGACAGTAGTGCTGTGCAGAGATTTGAACCCATGACCTTGGCATCTCCAGGCAAGTGTCCAAACCACTTTATTACAACATCGATCTGGCTGCCGAGCTCACGATCAATTGGGCAAAAAGAATTTCCATTTCGGTTTAATAACAATTTTGGAGTGGACTATTAGTTATTGTTATTATTGTTATTATTGTTATTATCTGTATTACTCTTGCTTTGAACAGACACAGCTTTAAGGAGATGTCCATAGGTAAGCTAGGCTACTATGCCATGGCTCTGCATGCCTCCTGCCACAATGCCTCCAACTTCCATGGACACAACATTATGAAGCAGCTGCATCACAGGGTCAACGAATTTGACACCAATCAGACCAGAAATTACTTCCCGTACTCCTTGGCTTTGCTTGCCTTGTGTAGCAGCGGTAGTGAAGTGCCTCATAGCGCCATAGCAACGCTTGAGGAAGTCCAAGGGGATGATGGATGTTTTCCATTTGGTGTAGGTAAGGGGACTGTTAGTATTTCGAAGACAATTTTGTTTAAAGCCCCTCTGCACTCTTTTGGCATGGAGGGATTAGACCTCCCTGCAAAGTCACTGGCAGGTGGTTATCTCATCAAATCAGCTCTCAATTAACATAAGAAAAAGGGCATCATGGGGGATCAACAGGTACCGCTTAGGCATTGTTGGCTGTATAGAGGGCGCAAGGAGCTATAAGTAGTGCAGTGGGGCTTTAAGGATTACTTTACAAGTGCTTTTGGGGCAGACAGGGTTCCCAGCAAGAAATTATTCAGCTCAAGTGATCCAGATTGGCCTGGCAGCATCCAAGGGGGATTGGTGTATCAAGACCAAATGGTTCTTGCAAGTTGAAAGTACAACTTGACCAGTAAATAACCCTTGTTGATATCCTGGTTGTGGGGGGGGGGGGGCGGTGTCTCATTAAAGCCTGCCTGTCATCCGCATACACGAAAACGTTTATAAAGGATAGTTTTTCGTGACCAGGCGCGTATCTCATTAAGAATATCAAAAACAGGAAACATCTGGGGAAAAGGTATCACATCAACTGTGCTGGTGATAAGAAAAAACGCGGTCGGACAGGGTAGGGAATTTGAAAGCCCTGGTCAGGAGCAGAGGGTCTGATAGGACTTTAAAATCACGCGGAAATACGTGATAAAATGAAAGATAAATGCAGCGCTGTACAGGAACCTGCAGTTGCTTCTTGAAAAAATCCCCTTGTTTTTGTTGTGTTGTAAAAAAGTGTGAATTACAAATGTAACATGTTCATTCAAATTTAATTAATGAGGTCTTTTTCATCATTAATGAGTAGATTGAATGAAGTTTCTTCAATGAATGGTTCTTTGCTGAAGTTCAGTAATCAGGTTATATTTTATGTGTTGATATGTCTGTCTGGCATTCTCTGTCTGCATACAGTATTTATTTTTCTTATTTTCTATTCAGCCATCTCTTGTCTTTATATCCTGTTTGTCTTGAATAATCTTATTCTGATTTGCTTTCTGTCTTTATATTTCTCTCCTTCTCTTGCTCTCTCTCTCTCTACCCCTCCTCATTTTTTTCTCTCTCTCTCTATGACTCTCCCTCATATTTCTTTGACTCAACCCGTTATCTTTCTCTCCCTCTCTTCCTCTCTCTCTCTCTACCCCTCCTCATTACTCTCTCTCTCTCTCTTCCTCTCTCTCTTACCCCTCCTCATCTCTCTCCCCCTCCCCATTTCTCTCTCTCTCTCTCTCTATGACTCTCCCTCATACTTCTTTGACTGCATCATTATTAGACGTGACATCCATGGCAGTCATGGCTATGGCATGCATGCAGGACTCCTTCAACAGCCCTCAAAGACTCAACCCCCTCAGAGATATGATGCGCAAAGGGTCAGAATGCATTATGGGACATCAGACATCAGACGGATGGTTCGGTGAATCAAATGTTATAAGCACAGCATTAGCAGCACAGGTATTTTTTTTTTTAGTAGATTAAAGGTACTATGTCCCTTTTGCAGACCAAAAAAATGAAAAGGTTAAATTCCAATGGCATTTGAAAGATAATACTAATTTAGAACTCCCCTTAAAAAAATGGTGCTTGAAAATGACTTTAAGTGGGAAAATAACGACTATTAGTTGTCAAATCGACTTAGGAGCTATAGAGGCAATAAGTAATAGTCTTGATTTTCAGTCCATTGTACCGCATGGTCGTACATTTTATGCTGCGTAAAGATTCAATCAGTTTAATTTTGGACATTACAAGAAGTGGGTTATTGATGTAGATTAATCCTTTACAGCTCATTTCATGTATTACCAAAGAAGAAGAAAAAGCCAGTCAGTCACTCAATACTGACAATAGTGTCTGACAGTGAAGTCTAGCAAGTAAACAGGTTTCCTTGCATAATTTGAATATTAGGAAACTGCTAATGTTTAAATTTCACAGATAGGACATACATGACATATTCATAATTCCTGCAAATTTCTACATAATTTGAGGTTGGCTGCAAAACAAAAATGAAAAAAGGGACATGTATTTTATGAATGTACGCTGGCATACATACCATTATTTGTGCTCTCCATCCTACTGAAATGCCTTGTATAACATACCAGTTATAAATAAAACTGTTGTTTTCCAATCCTAGGAAATTTAGGAGACAAGTGGCACGTTGCAGTTGAGTTGCAATCGATTTCAAATATCAGTAGCAAATTTTGCAACTTGCAATCAATCGCAACTTTCTTGCAACGCCCCATAGGTGATTACATCAAAAGTTTCCTCACTGCTGCCTTTTTTTCTATTCAAAGGCTCTGATTGCTGCCGGTGAACCTCCGTCGCTATGGCGATGTGAGGACGCCCTCTACCACATCCTGGATGCCCAGGAGGAGGACGGCCATTTCGGTAGCCAAGGGGGCACTATCCAGATCCTTCCATTGCTTAGCAACCGTCACCATGGAAGCCTGGCTGATGTTCAGCAGGATTGCCCAGTAAAAGGTTTGTTTTCAGTGTATACCCCCAAATAAATTGGAAATCGTTACAATTTTCCCCATGATACTAAGTGAGACATAGATTAAAAATTAATGAGCATGAGTGGAAAGAGTAATTTCATATCAAGGCCATCAAAGAACTTCACTGAGTCACCTGACTCTAGTTGAAACATTTTGGGGTCATTGGTTCTCTTTTTAATAACGTACCTACCCTGGTTGTTTGTTACATGCAAATTTCTTTGTTGTTTTTCTCTATATTTTTATGGTATTTCTAAGAAATCTAGACCATTTTCCTCTATTTTCTGAAGGAAAAAGAGGAGAGAAGTAGCTCCAAAAACATATATTTACGCCAAGGATTTGGAACAAAAGATGGATGAAACATATATTCAAAGTTGAAAACAGTCAAAATCATATTTTCTGTGCTGTTTTCGACTAATTCTTGACTATTTTATTTTGACTAGGGTAGTGATCATTATCTTTTCTTTCACAGATGTGATGCACGGCATACCACTGATTGGACGACAGGATGAGACGCATGCCGTCAATTTTGAGATCAGTCAGGAATTGGAGAATAGTGTAGCTATTTTCAGCCCATTCCTTGTAGACATCCTGCCAGGAGAGAGCGTCTACAGGGCCATGGAACGAGCTCGTCAAATTGGCTACTTCAGGTTAGTGTTGTTTTTTCTTAGCTTGTTGAGAGGTTTACAAGTGTAGCTACATCTCTGGAAGTTACTCCTGAATGGTCAGTTGTTTTTGGAAGCCTCAGGAGTTTCCTCTGTTGTTTTGTGTTCTGCATTGTCTTTGACTTTGTGGTAATTGAAAAATAGCATTTGACTAAAATCAAAAGATAAGATTTCATAATATAATTTTATTCCACTGTGATGAAATCTCATATGTGATAAATGTTTGTAAAATTAAATGAGGAATTTACAGTCTTACTAGAATTTGAATAATTCTCCCACTGTATTTGAAATTTCACTCTTCTGTTCCAATGATGTTATTTCTTCTCGAACCAAAAAGTTTTCAAGGTAGAATTGCCCTTTGAATACCTGATCATGTGCATTAAAATCTATCAATGTTGCTTCCATTCAAAGATCATGATGGTTTTCTGTATTTTTTCTCCTCCAGTTTTGAATCTAAATTGTCTCAGTTTGGAAACTACATTACTTCAATCAACAATGTAGTGAACGATAATGCCAATGGTCTCTATTGGTTCATCTATTCAGTGGATGAGAGTGGTGATCAATTCATGGCTGAGACTGGTAAGTAACTGATATATTTTTAAATTTGTTTGAAGATTAATTAATTAATGGTCACCATATTTTTGAAAGTGGAGCTGAATTGGGTATGATCGTATGTAATCTAAATTTCACACATTTTGGGGTCTAAAATTACCATAGCAATTCTAGGTTCTAAAAGGCATTTGAAATGTCATAAATAAGAATAACAGCAATAACCATGCGCTTCAAAGGCATTTGCGGTCTTAAACAAGAACTCAACTACTGTAAATGCTGTTATATTCACTTCTATTCAATTCAATTTTTCGCGCTGAGCGACCTAAAAATATATTCGCTGATTTTTAAATTTGCGTGGCTAGCCCGTTCAAAACATGTTAGAGAAGTCATGCTTATATCTTTGCGAGTTCTAAAATTTGCTCTTGCCGATCTTAGCGCGAAATCCGTGAAAATTAATGTACCGCAAATATTTCTACTTTTACAGTATCCCCATAAGTCATTGATTTTGTTTCAGATTTTTTATCATGTAGGCCTACCATATGTCATGTGTATTGAATATAATCATAGTCATTTGTTTTGTGCAAAATCTCAGTGGCAATGTGATTTTTATTTGAATCTCTTCTTCTCCCCTCTCCTCCCTGTACCCTTTCATCTTTTCCCTCCCTCCCTCATCTTTTCTCTCCCTCCCTCATCTCTCCTCTTTGACCTCTCTTCCATCGTCTTTCTCCTTTTCTCTTTCTCATCTCTCATCTCTCCTTTCTTCTTCCTCCTCTTATCTTCTCTCCTCTATTATCTGCCTTTTTTCCTCTCACATCTCTCCTCTTTGACCTCTCTCTCTTCTCTCTCCTTCCTTCTCTTTACTCTCTACTTCTCTCCTCCCTCCTCCCTCTACTCTCCTCCCTCCTCTCTCCTCCCTCCTCCCTCATTTTCCTCGCTCCCCCTTGCTCACCTCTCCTCTTTCCTCTATCCTTACCTTCTCCTCTGTCCTCTGTCCCCTCTCTTCTCTTTTCTCTCTTCTCTCTCCTTCCTCTCTCCTACCTCCTCTCTTCTCTCTCCTCATTCCTTACTTCTCTCTCCTATCCCCTCTCTCCCTCCCCTCCCCCTCCTATCTCTCTCTCTCTCTCTCTCTCTCTCTCTCTCTCTCTCTCTCCTCCCTTCCCTCCCCCTCCTATTTCTTCTCACTTTGTCTTGTAGGTGCTGAAGGAATCATGCCAGTGAACGGCTCCACCTATCGTTGGATCTATCGTGCATATTAAAACTGTGAAATAGACCAGTTCCTACCCGAGGATACCCACCAAGTGAATTGTGTATTCTATATCTGATTAGGCCTGTTTCCATCAGCCCGAGTTTGCCAAATGACCCGCTATTTTCAGACTCGAGAAGCTCAAAATTGCGTCTTCACTGGACCGATACGCTCATCACAAACTAGCTCAGACGGGCGCAAATTAGCCTGCTATTTCCCAAATAGCAAGATATTTTGGAAACAAGCCTAAGATTTCTCTGGATATTTTCTCGACCAAATATCTAATTGCAACTGCAGGCTGATGAAGACGTAAATTAACTGGTTAATTTGCGATCGGGATAGTTAAATTAGCAGGTTATTTGGCAAACTCGAGCTGAAGACGGGCTTTATTGTTGTTGAATTGTTTTCCTCTTTGTAAAGAATGCTTGGAAGGATACACACATGGGTTATTCATTGAAATGTATCCTATACAACACAAACCTTTGATCTATTCATTTTATCAACAACAACAAAAACTCACGCTATGGCTACTAACCAATGGGTACTTATGATATCAGTAACATTAGCCGATGGCATTAAGACATTTCTTTATTTTTGGATAATATAAATGAATAATGTCATTAGGACACATTCCATGGAATTGCCATGCTGGTGCACGCATGGATAGTGATGAACTGATGTTCATTTGATCATACAAAATTAGTCTACAAGGTAAATGTCCTCCAATTGCTTATATAACAGCTCTATAGTAATCTATTAATAAATGCATGTATAGCCATGCCATTTATATCGTATATTATTGGAACATTTCTTAATTTTGTAATAAAAAATACTTAAAGTTATATAACCTCATGTCAGTATTATGATTGGACAAAATACATTTGTTATTCAGAGACATGGAGCCTGGAGGTATGACTAAATCTCTACAATGCAAGGTATTTTATCAAATGTATAGAGAAAAAATGCAGTATATCTTAAAGCAGGGTTCTGCGGGCATTACAGAAAAACTATCCAAGTTAATAAACTGTAAATCTTGACTTGAGTCTTGAGTCTTGTTTATCGTAACAGTATTTAAATCATGCATGCCTTCAAGCATAGAAGTGAAATTGTATACCGGTACATGCATATAATTAAGCGACAATAGAAAATAAACAAGGCTCTGCCAAATATTTTTTACTGTAACTACTAACATTTCATTAATGCTCTATTGATCTGCAAAATATTTTCATTCACTGATTACACCATGCACACTTTAAGAAATGCTTTTTTGCATCCAGGATTCCTCAATGCAATAAGATGTGCTCTAACTTAAACTGACTTTGAATTAATTTGTATGCCTCTGATTCTTGTCTATTCATAGATTAAAAAGTCCGGTGCAATCAATAAGTCCTTGCCAGGAACCTACTAATTTTATTTTGCAGAATATTAATTAAGTTCTTTTTTAAATCGTTCTTTGGCCTGCTAATTGGACATGTGTGGATATTTTTAAATGAATAGAATTATTATTACAGATAAGCATTTGCTATCTAAGCTGATGAAGTTTGAATTGTATTATCTATGAATATAATGATCTTATATGTGCACATAATTTCCCTGTTTTGTTGATCAATGATTATATGATTATGAAGATTATGTGTAACAGCCAAGATGTCAGACATATTTTGATTTGCAGAATTACATGTGAATCTCACACATCAATTTGAACACATAGCTGATAAAAAATACAAATGTTTTTGTTTCAAGGCCTAGAGGGGAAATTAATACATATTTTACATCATCACCAAGAAATTCAGTTGTATTATTGCCATATGTGTCATATATTATATTACTTGGTATATTTCAATCAAAGTAATATAAAATGTGAGGGTAATGTAGTTATTGACATTATAAAGATGCTATTATCTGGTCACTCCAGATTCATGTGTACTAGATACGTATTACAACTTGGTGATGGCTGTCATGTTTTAACAAAAAATGAAGGTTTGCAGCCCTCTTCCTTATTCCCCCCTCTTCTCTTTGGGCAGGAGAGGGGATGGGGGAGAGGATGGGGGGGGGGGGGGTGTTCCCCCAGTGCCCCTTGGATCCACCTCTGTCAAAAATATATCAATCAACATCTATCAAAATCTATCTTTCAAATATATTACCAAACATATCTGTATCAACCAGATATAGTATGAAGAATTGTATGAAAAAAGTCTGTTTGGAGAAACACTTGGTTCTTATGTTGTTGAGTATTATTGTTGTCATACTACATGTATTTCTTTATACAGTAAGCTTGCGGGTGTACCATGTGAGAGTGAGAGAGGATTGAGGAGTCCTGAAAGCAAGCCTACTGTATATCTACATCACCATGCAAGCCGACACTTACAAGCAGCATGTATTTCTTTATTCTCAGTTTTCCATTTTCCATAATTATGTACTTTATGCTATATGTATTTGTGTGTGATTACATGGACATAAAACATGTACAGATGCTTATATAGTTTTTTCTATATACATAACATTCATTTTTATTTTCTCATGCAATGAATAATTTGATAATGTAATGATATTACCATGTATCTTGTGTATGACAGCCTTAAAAATAAATTGATTTTATGCAATATCAGCCATGTAATGTGATTATTGGCACCTTTCCCTATTTTCTGCTGTTAATGCAATTTTTCCTTTCTAACACATACATGAATTATTTGTCTATTTTCTGATATGATGAAAGAAAATACCTGTAGTACCCAATGGGCAGCATACCTTTAGTGAATGAATTACATTTACGGTAGTTTATAGAAGAACTGAATGTTCAGAAGACAGAAAGATCACAAGACTGAATTTAGGTCCACATACTGAAAGAGGAAGTATATAGTGAGTGAGGAATAGTGGGGAGATGATGGGGATCAATCGAGGCAAACAGAGAGAGAGAGCTAAAAGGGAGAGAGATCGAGACAGCTAAAAGAGAGAGAGAAAAAGTGTGAGAGAGAGGGGAGAAAGAGGGGGTGTGTGTAATTGGGGGAGAGAGATAGAGATGGGATAGAAACAGATATATGAAAACTAAAAGAATTGGAGGGGATCAGAAGAAACAAGAAAACGGAGATAACGTGACAGAGGAGTTATGAAGATTTGTGAATAAACAAAAAATTGAAATAAGTATGAGAAGAAGATGAGAGGGGAAATGAAATGAGTGGGGCATGTGTTGCTGCAAAGAATACCATAGGTTTAAAAAAAAAAAAAAAATTAAAAATCGACCTCGTATTTCTTTTGGAAGCATTGTTTATCTCGAATGCTAAAAAGCAAGTAAGAGGAAGAAGGGGAGGACTGCATGGTTTTGTCAACTCACATACCCTGGTTTTGTATATATTTTTTTTTATTGATTATGTGCCTGCTTGGCAATTGACCACAGCAGAAGGATGAACCCTGCCGACCCCCTCCCCCACTCTGCCTCTCACATACATGCTTTACAAATGAAGCAAAGTTGAATCAAGAAAATTTCAACCATGACAAAAAATCTGTAAATTTTCTCTCCAACTCTGTGGCCCGAATTCACAAAGCAAGGTTTGAGCTCAGACCAAGGTTTGACCTCAAACCTCCTTTTGTTGAAACAAAAGGAGGTTTGAGCTCAAACCTTGGTCTGCATGAGCTCAAACCTTGCTTTGTGAATTCGGGCCCAAGTGGCTGACGAGAATATTATTGCGTAATGATCGAGTTAGCAAGCCTGGCGCATGCGCATGGGGTTTCTACAACATAACCGGCTGACGTAATTCGCAATCTCATAACCTGGGAGATTTCCAAATATTATATCATTTTTGGACCCCAGCTAGCAATATCAATCATGCCTAGAGGAGGAAGAAGTCGCGGAAGATCCTTTTCACCAGTTCGGTAAGTATTTTGCCCAATAGTTGTATGAATGGAACTTATGGAAGGTAAAATAGTTCGACTTCGGATGTCGTAATTGTCTAATTCTCGACCTTTCCATGTGCAACTCCAGGCGGCTGGTTAAGCGAGCCTTGTGGAGCATTTTCTGCACGTGCAATGCTGGATGATTATGAATATGAGTGAACCTCATCAGCTCGGGTCATCATGAATGACATAATGAGAATTATTGAGTCTCGACTTGTAATTAAACCTGAAATACTCTCGTAGTGATTATGACTAGATCCTATGATTATTCCTGATATTCTAGTAAGTAAATGTGCAAAAAATTGCATCAAAATTTGAGCAAGAACATGTTAACACTCGAAGGACTAGACCGAATTTTCCGTCTCTTTCGTTCGTTAGCCTCTTATTGGGGTAGGGTCGGCCGGCTCTCTCTTTAGAGACGGAAACCGACCATACACATTCCCTTGATAACGCCACGGCCATTTCAGGTCGTAGCGTTTTGCCCCCAAAATCCCCCAAAATTTCATTTTACCTCGTGTATATCCAAATGTAAATTAGGCCTAGATCTAGGCTATAATACATCGGTTCCACTTACTAACTTGATTGAAATAATCCGTTTAATGGTCCCTTTTAAGGAAATTATGGGTCAAAATCGACATCCATGTTGAAAATCTTGCAAGCCGTGTTGAACTCTCACTGCCGGAGTCATCTAAATCAATCTCATCCCTTCTAGTCTACGCCGAAGGCAAAATGATTATGAAGGAAAAACTGTGCACCATCTACACGTTCGTAATGGCGTTATCACAGTTTTTCCTTCATAATCATTTTTGCCTTCGGCGTAGACTAGAAGGGATGAGATTGATTTAGATGACTCCGGCAGTGAGAGTTTAACACGGCTTGCAAGATTTTCAACATGGATGTCGATTTTGACCCATAATTTCCTTAAAAGGGACCATTAAACGGATTATTTCAATCAAGTTAGTAAGTGGAACCGATGTATTATAGCCTAGGCCTAATTTACATTTGGATATACACGAGGTAAAATGAAATTTTGGGGGATTTTGGGGGCAAAACGCTACGACCTGAAATGGCCGTGGCGTTATCAAGGGAATGTGTATGGACGGTTTCCGTCTCTAAAGAGAGAGCCGGCCGACCCAACCCCAATAAGAGGCTAACGAACGAAAGAGACGGAAAATTCGGTCTATCAAAGGACTAGTAGGAGGGGTTTTTTGGCCACTTCAGACAAAATCCTATTTTTTGGACCCTTTACTTCCTATTTATTATCATTTCTTGTTCAAATCATGAAGCAAATATTATCATTATTTAAACAAAAAAAGAATCCCAGAAAAAAATAACGAATTGCCATGACAATATTCATTTAATTTTCACTGTTTCGGAGGCAGTTATCAGGATAGCGAACCAGTTTCCGGCCGCATGTACAGAGTCAATAAGAAGCGCGCACGCGCGTCGTGTGTTTCCGCGCTGATCTATAGCACTAGCGGGCGGAGCAGGTATCCCACGTCGGAGCTCGCCTGAGCTCGCCAGGCCGAAAACTAGTAGGTCTACTGCGATGATCGGAAATTGGAATCTGAATTAGACAGAGATATCGTGTGTGCGTTGGGGTGTCCGGCTGCATTGATTTAATACATGCGGTGAGATACTTTTGAGCTTGCGACTAACACAAAATCTGGCTCTAAATCTGAAAAATGCTTGAAATAAAGCTCATTTTATGGTACCCATATTCTTACAGAGACGCGTAAGATACTTGATTTTTCAGATTCGGGTAGCGGGACCGTCGATTACATCGCTAAAATGTGATATTTTAGGATATATTTTCCATTGCAAATGTGCTTCTTCAGTGACTCTGGCATGGTATGGTATGTGTGGGATATGTGATAAGATATGCTGTTCTGCGATGTATTTTAAAGGGATTTTACCATGCATCCAACGGATCGGCCGAAAACTGGTGATGGTGGATTACCCCCTCCTTTACTCTAGACTAAGCCAAGTTAGAAGTGAAAGTGAAACTTTGATTTTGAAAGTCAGAATATCAATTTCAGTAGTTGTTTCACAAGAAAATAGTTGCGTCACTGACAGACACTGAGTTAACTTACATTACATGTATTGACACAAAGTTCCAAAACTTTAAGTTGTATAATAATAATAATAATAATAGTGGGTTCTTTGTATTGCGCTCATGTCAGTCAGATTTGACCCTCCTGGCACTCTATGGTGACTTTTAAAAGCTTATAAATGAAGTGTATCAAACGTTTTCTCAGTATTTATTAGTATTGTCTTCGACTATTTCTTGGTTTGTTTGCTTTGCTTCGATAACCTCTAAGTCTAACATTACTCTCAGATACTGAAGTAAGTAACTAAGACCAAGAGACAAAATATGAAATGATATAAATGAGAAAAACTATGTATTTTTCTTTGCATCATGGCTAGATTCTTAAACTTTCTCCTCCTGCTTGGTCATGTATATTCTTTAACTTTCATTTTGTTATTTATATATTTTTTTCTTTATTTTAGGGCTGCACCGCCCAGGACCATGTCGCCTGCCCCCCAGAGAGCCCCCGTGCCAGCCCAGCAGCCAGCCACAGCTATGGGCCAATCAAGAGGGCCAGGACTTATGGGTCAGATGGCAGCTACTGCTGGGGGTGTAGCCATCGGATCAGCATTGGTAAGTGAACACTAATCAAATTTTTAACATAAACAGGCTTATGAGGAAGAGGTCTTTGACTATATCCCTTTTGGAGCTGTCTATGGTACAGTGCTCTCTGTTTCATACTAAAAGGCTCATTCAGATGTAGGAAGCCACTGCAAAAAAAGTGCTGTGGTTTTGTATGTTTAATGAATGGCAACCAGGGAAAAAAATACACGGGGGCTGAGGGCGAATTAGCCCTAGAAAGTCATAAAAGAGCCCCTCAAAGTTGCATAGAGTTCAATGCAAAACAAAATAAAGAGTGTTATTTTCATGCAAGCAAGCATGAAAAATAGCCCCTGAAATGTTCAAAGTATTTTTGCCCTGATGGCAACTGTATTACTGCACACAACTAAAGTCCTATGGATCTTCATGTCTGCTTGAGAAAACACCAACTCACAAAAGTTAGGTCCCCTAAATCACAACTCATCCTTTCTTTGTGGACTTTCTCCTTGACAGGGTCATGCCGTCGGACATGCTATGACTGGTAGTGGTAGCAGCCAGCAACCCGATGTCACCTACCAAGAGCAGCCACAACAGCAGCAGCAGCAACAGAACCCTTGCCACTATGAGATTCAGAAATTCATGCAGTGTGCCGAAACCCAGAATGATCTCAGTTATTGTGACGCATTCAACATGGTTCTCAAAGATTGCAAGAGAGCAAATGGTAAGGATTCCGTCATTCAATTGGCATGATAATTTTCCTACTGTAGCTAATTTCCTTTTCATCTAGAATGTTGGTACAGTAGTGCTCATACTGAGTAGGGTTTTGTATTTATTGCATGTGGTGGTGCTTATTTTACCCGACTGCTAAGAAAGCATAAATGCTTGTAAGTAAGCAACCAGACGGCTGACGGCTTTAGGTCCTCTCCGAGGGACCTGGTAATGAGGATTAATGCCTACCATAGGGTACTAGCTCATCGACTAGGTTTCGAACCCGGGTCACCGGATCCCGAGACCACTGCTCTACCGTCTGACCTATCGCGCCTCCTCGATTAAATTATTTTGTGTGATTCATTCAACATGGTTCTCAAGGATTGCAAATTTGCAAGAGAGCAAATGCTATGAATGCCTGTCATTCGATAAGCATGATAGTTTTCCATTCCATTTAGATTTATCTACCATGAGTTATATAATTAGTTTTTTTGGACTGTATCTTTCTTGGGTTAAATCAGTTTGTGTGATTTCAACATACAGTAGCGCCTAAGGATTACAAGAGAGCAAACAGTAAGGATTATTAATGTTTGATAAGCAAGCTACTTTTGCATTTTAAGGCTATATTATTGGATCAGAGTGTATCTTTATTCTTCGAGTACTTGGGCTGTGTAGTACTCTATTCTATTAAGTATAAACACAAAATATTCAGTGAAAAATGCAACTCACGTTTCCTCTCCATATTGTAGATGGTTTATTATGTACAGAGATTAATAGGAATAGGAGCTTGATTTCATTTTATTTGTTTATTTATCTCTAGACTATTCTACATTTTCTACCTAAACAGCTTGGCAGACACAAATTTATTTATACTCTCACTCAAATTTATTTGTACTCTCAGTTAGTGTCAGTTACAACTCATTTGATGCTTTCTATTAAATAATAATCCCATGTCTTTGTTATTTTCCTTTCTACCTTTATCTTTCTCTCCACCATAGGTTTGGCATAACAGCCGATGATCATACGCTTTTCTATTTTCTTACATCGTCCTATGTCTGGCCTCTGTCCACTGCAGCTTTTACAACAGATGAAATGGATTATTCTACCAAAATTTACTTTAATATCAAATAGGATTTGAATCAAAGTTTTCTGAAATGTTTTCATTAATAAAGCCATCAATCTAATGGTGCATACATTGTAGAATCTCTAGGATGAAATATATGATGTGTTCATAATTGAAGTTGTCAATGATGTGAATCAGTTCACTTATGCATGCCTCTGCCACAAGACATTGCATGATGAATGATGAGCCTTATGTAGTGATATACACAGGGATGTCATTATCTCTCTCTTAGTAAACATACATTTACGAGAGATATTTGGAGTTTTTAACCATAACTACATGTATTCAGTGCAGAATTCTGTCAAAAATACTTACAGAGTCTCTCTCATGGGTCATACACTATGAAAATGACGGACAAAGAAAGCGGACAAAATATACAGTTCCTCAGGTAGACACAGGAACATCCCTTCACTGCTATTATGTAAAAATGTGTTTAACAGGTGAATATGCATGTGACACCTGTTCCACACATTTTTACATAAAAGCAATGAAGGGATGTTCCTTTGTCTACCTGAGGAACTGTATATTTTGTCCGCTTTCATTGTCCGTCATGTTCATAGTGATACAATCGATTTGTTTTGTTGTGTGTGTGTCAAACTAAGTTCTACCATAGAAAGGTAATCTGAATAATTTATTAATGAGACGCTCATCATTATTGTTCCGTATTATGAAAGGAACAGCATTACGTATGAAATAGGAAACCTCTCATTTATTCTGCCGTGCAGTGCTTTGTTTAGCCCAAAGTATTATTGCCTTCTTTCAACCTCTGTAGAATTTGCACACTTGTGCATGCATGTACACTGTTTGAGTGATCGCCTTATTCACGATAAAGCCAAGGAACTGTTTTTGTTTTAGAATAATGGGTTTAAATCAACAGAGATATTCAATTCAAGTTTTGGCATGATTTCATGGAGTGTTGTTGCGACTGAAACTTTATTAACTTTTCATATTGCTTCATGAATCATTATTAGGTTAGAAGAGAGACCACTCATCTATGGGAGCGTTATTATAGTTCATGTACATAATTTATTTAATTATATCGTCTCTGGTTTATAATACACCTGAGAATTTGAAATCTTAGATTGAAATGTGCTCCTCACCAAACTGATCTCCTTTGGCTTTTAACCAAATAATTTGGAAAGAAATTCAGCATTTCTGTTTGTTTTGAGTGAAATGTTATCATGTGCATGACTCCTTGCGATAAATTGCCTGGGGACAGATGGTCAGACACTTTTGGGGGTATTTGTGAGCTGAAAATGAAAATATGTTATAGGATTGTTGCAGCAATATTATGTGTGTTCTATTGATTTTATCCAGCGAGTATGGCAGTCTTGGACATAAAAGAAAAAGTATCAACAGTATTTTATTATTGTACAATGATATGAATGTGAAAATAAATATGTTTGACAATGACATGGCCTGTAGCATTTCTTTCTTCTTTAAGTCTATGTGAGGAAGGGAAATGGAAAGGGGAGTGAGAGTGAGAATTAAAGGGAGAGATCTGAATATGAAAGAGAGGGCAGTATGAAATTACAGACATGGCAATATAGAAACAGGAAGGGAAAAAGTAAGGAGAGCAATGATGAGGAAAAAGTTGAAATAATGTGGATCTAATGAGGATGATAGTGAGGGGGAATAGATTGGCAAGGCACAAATTGAGAAGAAAAAAAGAAAAGAAAATTGATGAGATACTTGAAAGGATCCTACGTTAGAGAAATAGAAGACACAGAGAAGGATAGATATGAGGTGATAATGTTAAGCTAGAAGTAAAGTATAATGGTATTTGGAGAGTCAAAAGAAAATTGGAAACTGAGATTGAACGAGACAAAAGAAGTTGTGATGACAAGTAGATGTAGCTCAAAGTATAAGATGAATAAGAACAGGTACAAGTCTGTATACAGCAACAGTTCAAGCACATTTTCCTTATGGACCACTTCCCAAATGCTGGTTGTGTGAATGTCAAAGTGCAAATAATTTGTCTTCGATGTCAATCCCCAGAAATTTGTATGGGGTTTCTTTTAGTTCCATTGCTGTTTTTGTCCCCCCCCCCCCCCTTTCCTTCTCTCTCTTTCTCTTTTAGCTCTTTTACCTATTATTCTTTTCATTATTACATGAGAAAAATCTTTGAAGACGACTATCAAGATACATGTACATAATAACAATTGAATTACATAAAAATCAAAATTAGATTTGACAAGGTTTCTCTTGAATATATGTATCAATACATGTACATGTACAGGGCAAATAAAAGGTACCTTTCTTGAAAGTACATTGTATTTCTGATATTTAACAAGAAATATAAAACTCAAACTTCAAAACTATGTTTTTTATCATATTGCAACACCCGACTAAAAACATCCACACAAACAAAATTTCACATAAAAAAATATATCAATATTTATTCCACTAGCTTAAAAACTAGGTGATGTGGTATTTCCATACCAAAAATGTAAAGGCAGAAGGGAGATATTTGAACTGATGGAATTGGCTACTCTAAGAAATTTAAACATTTTTTGGTGTTCAATTATTTTCATAATACAGTTATTAGGGAGTATATTCTGTTACTTCTGATTATATCAAAACATAACTAATACCAAACATACACCGTCAATTAGTCTTATGGTTCAATTCAAATGAAGTTAAAATATTCAAAAATTATGGGGCATACTCTCCCTTTAAAGGGTCATATACAGTTTTGGTAAATCCTCAAAAACTGTTCATCAAATTTCCTTTTTGCTTTTACATGTAGGTGACAATTAAATAGCAAGGACTAGCCACATTGAGAAGCTGTGAGGTGTTTTTCTCCTAAAGACTCAAGTGGTATATCAAACAAAAGAGCGGAAAATGAGTGTTATGACACACCCACAGAATTTCTTTTTTAGTCTGATCATCTGGGCACACGTGTTGGTGTTTCACATTAATAAGTACAAACTAAAAAAAAAAATTAGATCTTCTCTTTCTCTCCTTGATGCATTCCATCTATTCCTCTTGATCCTGCATTTCTTCTTCTGCGCCTTCTTCTCTCTGTTCTCCTGGAGAGATGGATGTGATCACTTGTATGAGAGCTTTCATAGAAGATCTTCTCGCACTTCGACTTTTTCTTGTTATTCTTGTAAGATCAATGAGATCACTCAAAGGGAAACCCCTCCCTTTCTGTACTCCCTTGAGTTCGAGGTGACCACTTGCATGAAAGCTTTCACAATCCTTCCTGTCCTTCCTTTCTATCATTTCTACTAGTTCAACTTCTTTTTGTCCTCTTTGTAAGATGGTTATAATCATGAAAGATGAAAGTCTCGGTTTATCCTTCCTCTCCTTCTTCTCCTTCTGCACCTTCTTCTTCCTGCTCTCCTGGTAACATGGAGGTGATTACTTTGATGAGAGATTCCATCTGATCCTCTGACAATCGCTCTTCGCATTCCTCTACCATCTGAAGAAAGTAAAGAAGTTTTGGTTAGGTATCTAATACTCCTTCTCATTTACCCCATGTCTCCTCTTTTATCATTGGAATGTGGGATTTTAAGCACAAAATACACTATATTGATTCTATGTGCACTCTACAACATGAACAAAATGCCTTACAAATGTGCGTCTGTATCAACAAATTTCCTGCTCATGGCAATTTATTTAGTGAACAAAATGAGACTTGGTAAGTAGTCACCCGAAGAAAATTCACGACAACTGATAATTATGGACAAGTTATATATGGATGGAAAGATTTTCTCTTGAAAAGCATGAATAATTTGCTAAAAATCGTAGAGATATCATGGAAATGAGTAAAATGCAATTTTGTGGCTAGCTATGTCTCGCATGTGATGTCAAGAATCTTGACCCTCTACAGAGGACCGCTGATGGCAGAAAATCTGGATCTCAAGATTAATATTTTTGAGAGACAATTACTGCGGGCCCCAAACATATTTTGAAGAGTAAAGTTATTATATTTGATCAGTAAGGCTTCCCCTTCGCAATGATATGAATATTGCACCAATTCAAAACACTTTTGATTCTTTGGGTGACTACTTTAAACAAGTTTGAAGTCCTTATGCAGTTTAAATATATAAATGATACAGCAACGTAATGCAAATAGATTCCACACAGTTAATGCAATAGCGTTGACAATCATCCATTCTAAAATATTCTTAACAGAAATCAAAACATCTGTGAGTATACAGGACTTATATTTAAGTAAATCAATACCGGTAGTGTAAATGTTCTTGACAGCAACAAATGATCATAAAAGATAAATGCAGGCACATTGTTTACAATTTACACAATGGCCAGGGTAACAATTTGTTTTTGACCGTGCTTAATAACCACACAACAAGATAGATTTAGGTGCACAGACACACTTTTACATCTACTATAATGAATTGGAAAAGCAAAACTTACAGCCATTATTTCTACTGAAGTAGTTGGTCTATGATTAAGAAGTTGCAGTTTTTCAGATCTGTAAAGAAGAAATGAATAACAAATGGTACAAATTATCACTTGGTTTGTATGTTCTTTGCATGTATTCCTATTCTTCTGTTTTCTTTCTTTACTCTTTATTTTATATCTTTTCCCATTATTCACATACTGCAAATATTGAATAGTGCATCATGGTGTGTTTCAGCACTGTTTCGTATTCACTTTACGCTAGACGCATATGCATATGACACTCTTGCAAAACAAAATTAAAATCACAAGTCTGTTTTGCAGTCAACTCGTGAAGAAAACAAGTTTCTTAGATATTCAAACAAAAACCCTAATGAACAAGGGAAAAAAATCAGATTAGCTTATAGATTGGGGGAAAAAAATTACTTTGTTGTTTCTCTTTAGTGTGTGTCATGGTCAACCTGTTAAAGGCATCGTTTAACATTGTTAAATATGAGATGCATGGCCCTACGTGTTATCAGTGTCACTGTCAGTGATATGGTCTAATATTGAAGCCCCCTAAAAAAAGTTGAGTGACCTGTTTTACCATACCCATTTTCCCCAAGAGACTGTCGTGTTATAAAAACGGTTAGGAAAATGAAAAAAGAAATTTTTATTTCCAATCATAAATATCTTGATAATCAGACAGGCGATCGGCTTGTAAAAGTCATGGGGTTCCTGACTGACCTAAAGGTTTACAATTATGATTGCAGGATGAGCTAATTAAATCCAGGATTTTGTTTCAAAAGCTGAGGCAATGTTACAGAGTCACTATAAATCAGTGAAGCCTCAAACATTTTGGTGACAAACCCAAAAATACTAGGAAAAACCCGCTGGAAATTTGAGATGACTGAAAATAGAATAATTTCCAACAGGTTAGTTTTCCTTCTTACTTTGTGAGATTGAAGGGAGCGAGAGCTTGGAGGAACTTCTCAACGACCTCAGGAGTTTGAAGTCCACATGGAGTATTCTCAAGGTATTTGATTGTCTGTATCAAAAGAGAAGAACAAAGTATATATGCTTAACTTGTTGCATGCTGTCACCAGATGGCTCCTATATCAGCCCTATGGGAATGTGAGAATCCAGTAGTCAATGGGTTAACTCTATAAAGTAAAATGCAATGAATTAAAACCCTTTTGGCTTTCAACAGACAAAAAACATATACAACAAACCTGCAACAACAACTGAACACTACTTTCTTCTTATTTAACTACCATAGATTTCTGCTCAACCAGTAATCAGCTCATCAGAATCATCTTTTTTGTTGAAGCATAGAGGAAGATGAGAGATTTTTTTATCCCACTAAACTGAAACTCACAAAAACAGCAGAAGTGATAGTATAAACTTTATTTATTGCTTTGTCAAAATTCTTATTACTACTGAAATCTCTGAAATACTGCTTTGTTTTGTACTTTTATTTCATCTTTGCAATTGTCATGCTTCTGGGGAAACAATATAATGTACATGTACATGTACAGAAAAAGTCAAAACATGCAAGAAAATTATGACATAGGAAAGATTTGTCCAAAGTGAATAATCTGTTACTCACTACAACTAAAGAGAACAAGCCTAAAGCTGTTACTCATATTTGTTTTGCTTAACTTCTATTTTTTCTCTTGTAGCTTTAGAAAATCAAATTAAAAAGTGTATTATGTACCTCATATGATATGGTGGCAAGGTTCTGCTTTTTTTTTGCTGATGCTCTTCTTCCCTCTCTGAGAGCTCCCTGCTTGTAATTCTTTGAGCAGAGCATGCACCTGAAATGATAGAAAGTATATTGGTTAGAAGTCAAAGGTCATCAGATAATATGTCTTAGCCTGTACTAGCTTGAGAAGAGGTTTAAACGACCTTGCCCACATACATAGCTTAGGGCCAAAATATCTGGCAACTTTGTAATCTAATGTGAATTATTTTGGAAACGTGCTTTCATAACTAAGAGTTTACACGCAAGAACAGCTAATTGTCGCCAAATTGTTTAGGGTAACGTGGTAAACTAAGGTTACCTCATAGTTGCTCAGCATAGCAGCACTTTCTTTGACCCTGCAAAAAAGAGAAAGAGTAAAATGCTGGGTTATTTTTCAAACATCTTTAGTAGTCTAGATATGACTTAAATATGTTTCACTAATCTCTCAGAAGAAGATAAAGGAGGAGGAGGAGAAGATAAAGGAGGAGGAGGAGGAGCTAGAGGAGGAGGAGGAGGAGGAGGAGGAGGAGGAGGAGGAGGAGGTAAAGGAGGAGGAGGAGGAGGAGGAGGAGGAGGAGGAGGAGGTAAAGGAGGAGGAGGAGGAGGGGGAGGGGGAGGAGGAGGGGGAGGAGGGGGAGGAGGGGGAGGGGGAGGAGGGGGAGGGGGAGGGGGAGGGGGAGGGGGAGGGGGAGGGGGAGGGGGAGGGGGAGGGGGAGGGGGAGGGGGAGGGGGAGGGGGAGGAGAAAGACTAAGAGTAAGACTAGAGTTCTTCATCATCATCATCATCATCATCATCATCATCAACAACGGAGGAGGAGAAGAAGGAGGAGGAGGAGGAGGAGGAGGAGGAGGAGGAGGAGGAGGAGGAGGAGAAGGAGGAGAAGGAGGAGAAGTAAGAGGAGAAGAAATACAACAATCGCACTCATCGGATCATTCAGCAGCTCATCGAATTCCATTTTCGACTGATTTGTAACCCAGTAAATTCAAGACAAATGACAGTTGCTTCAACTCACTAACATATACTATTAATAATTTAACTACATGGTAACATAAAATACAACCATATACCTGGACAGACAATTAAATTCAATGGAAAATAGATTCAAAATACTTACACCTCCATAGTAGCCTTTGTAAACCCGTATTTACTACCTGTTTAGTTCATTTCAGTCCCAAAGCTTTGTTTTTGTGTAAGTGAATTTTCTTTTTCTAGTAGTATGGTATCTTTGAATTATAAGCTACATGGAAATTTGCCACTTACTTTTTTCAATGATCAAAAAACGGAGATTTTGGGGACAACAAAATTAATGCGGGTAGTGGCGGATCCAGGATTCTCAGGCCAGGGGGGGGGGGGGGGGGGGGGGTGAGAGGGAGATCCTAAAATTCTATGACAAACACAGAAATGAAATAAGAAGAAAAAAAAGTTTCCTCTTTGCTTTCTTTCTTCACACCTCCTGTTTCCCTGTTTTCGTTCTTCCTCCCCCCCCCCCCGTCCCTAATTTTCACTTTCTCCTGCCTTCCCATCTCCCGCTTTTTGGCTGGGAGAAGGAGGACACATGCCCCATCTGATGTATGTGCCCCTGGATCTGCTTCTAGTTGGGAGCGGGTTGCATGTGGCATGTGACATATTCTAGGCCTATCTGCATGATAACAAATCTTGATATCACTGGTTTAATTGAAAGTGTCATAATTTTTTTATTTTAAATTAATTTCAACTGGTTTCTATTTTGATGAAGGTCTCATAGTATCCCATTCTTGATTGATTTCTGTTGTCTTTTTAAATTTCCAATTTTTATAGACTTTTTCTGTCTTTACTTGCCGCCGCTGTTTCTGTTCCATCTTTTTGTAATTAGGCCCTATTAGATGTTTTACCCGGGATGTTTTATATGATTTTTAAACATAACAATCCAGCCGTGATGGTTGCGAATATTGAAAATGAATTAAATATTGAATCTTTAATCTTTTTCTAAGAGCATAATTGTGTCATAATGCTCTCACTTTAGAAGGCCAGAAACATAAGCTTTATAGCATATATATCTCTCAACTCAAGTCTCAATCGACCTGTAATACAAATTGCTCTCGTGTGTATGTCTCACCTCCCTGGTATAATAGCCTACGATTGATTAATAATATTCTTGTTAATTTGATTGAGGGGACCTTGTTTTTAATAGTTCGGAGGGGTGATCCGGGAAAGGAAACCGATGAAATTATTTAAAAAAATATTGAGGGGGGGGGGGGACTTGGATGCATGTCTGATAATATAAGGGGCGTTGAGTATAAAAGTGAGTAATGTAGAAAAAACTTTCACAACATATTATACTTTAAAAAAAAAAAATCAATAAAACATTTTAAAGTTGTAGCCTACTTGTACGAGGACTGTCAACAAAGATTGATTTATTCGGGTAGATTTATGTCACGGCCACGGGCCAGGGTCGCTGACCGCAGGCGCGCTCCGTGCTATGCTGCATGCTGCGCTTACACACACCCGTGCGCGCCCCACGTGGCCGACTAGACTGCACTGTCAGTAGCTGATTGCGGCACAAAAATTTATAGACTGAACCAGTTCGCTGACAACATTTTACGTCCTTGCAGAATCAAAGAGGTTTTCACAAAGTGTCCACAAAATAAGCAACAGCGATTTTATTGTTCTTGTGGATTTCTCACTCACTTGACTGAATTAAAGGTTACTTTGTCAAGGAAATCGGTTCAGTGCTCCTGAATCTCGCGCCAAAGTTATTTACCGCAGCAGGAGTGGGCGGATTGGATATCTACGTCACGGTACATCTCCCGGGTCAGTGAGGCGGAGGTGAGCTTCGAGTTTCCGCTGAACACATGTAGCGCACTCGCATCTCCCGTGTGTTTACTACTACAGACTAAGTACAGCATGTACGAGAGCGATATGAGTACTGCCAGTGCAGGTGGCAGTGCAAGCTCGAGTTCCATTGAACCCAATAGTACCTCGAGTGCCAGTGCAAGCTTGTCATCCGCTGGAACGTTATCAAGTATGGAGACTATTCCAACTCAGGAGGTTGCTGAAGGAGATTTTGATTTTGCAGAGGAGAGAGTTGTTGTATGGGGTCGTCTGTATCCTGTGGGAAAATGTTTCTCAAGTATTGGTGAGATTTGAGAATTAAAAAATGGTTGATTTCTAATTGTAAATTGGTTTGATGAGGGATGAGTTCCAGTTTCAGTTTTGATTCTATGTTGATAATAATTATTAATAGCACAGAGACTGAGACTGAGAGGCAGTGTGCCCATTACTTATATTATATGAAAATTAATTAGCTCAGGAATTATTGAAATAGGTCTATACAATTCAATTACCTGAATCTCATTTACATGTGACATTTATCTTTCCTTTTCCATCAATTTCTGTTTTATTCTGATTTTTTCTAGTTGGCATGGTTGAGTTTGAATTTGTTTGAATAGATAGCTAAGCAAATCATACAAAATTTATCTTTTCTTTTCATTGCCTATCTCTCTCTCTCATTATGCATATCATGAACTGTCTCGTTATAAGTTTAAATTCACATGCTCTCCACTGAAATGTATGTGTTAATTTCTTAACATTTAATTTCAGTGTGATGTCCATAAAGTTAGACTCAACATTTCATGAAAGTTTTGTGAGTAGCTCTTCATGAAGATTAGCAACTTGTAGTGTACATATTTCTCTTGTTATGAGAGAGAATGATAATGAAGCGCTGAAGTACTGATCATTTGTTAAAGTTAAACCCTTTTTATGAATATTGCAGACTTCTTAGACACAAAGGATGAATATATATTTGGCAGAGATCCATCTTGTGATGTTTGCTACAATGGCCCGGAAATAAGCAAGAATCCTTGCTATCAGACTCTCAGTAAAACACACTTCAGGATATTCAAGGTGAGGATATTTATCTTTTACATCATCTACTGTACATGTACAGTGAAACCTGTCTATAAAGACCACCCAAGCCTGCACCTAAGGAGTAAGGGAGACAAGAAAAAGGGTCTTTGTGCAGAGGTGGTATTTGTACACAGGCTCCTTAAGTACATGTTCCAATGAGAAACCACTTTCAAGGGAAACAACAAATGTTATTTTTCTAGGCAGGTGGGCGCGTGCGCTAAACCAGGTCTGACTGTAAAATAGTTCAAACGATTTAGGTAACTGTACATGTGTATTTTGTATCGTAAAAAGGGTGTTGAATGAATGAACCTTCACACTTTCACAATAAGAAGTTGTGAGAAATTGTGTATTATGAAAGATGAGCAATAAACAATAATATTTTAGAGACGATACACATGGCTTCTGAGTTGTGAAATCTCAGAAAACTTTGATAGCCAAGTAGCAAGGGCATCCTTTATTGATGTGCATGTTTTATTATTATTTCCAAATAAAAAGATTATAATAGACACATGTGCTGTAAGGATGCAGGACCATTTAAGGTATAATGGAATGTGTATTTTTGTATTGAATATTAGAACATCATGTGATCTTATTAAATGTTGGGATGTTAGCATTTAGATTTGGTAGTATAATTTGTCGGCATTGTGCTGTGGAAATTAGAGTTGGTAAAATTATGTATAATTCCACATCCTATTGCTTGATATTAAAGGACTGTACAATGATATGGTGGAAGGTAATTTACAACTCAACTGAGACAGAATAGCATATACATTTTTGAGATGCTGTTTATTGTGGCCACATTAATTTACATGAAGTTTAATGTTGTTTGTTTTTTGTTCAGGAATCAAATGACAATTGTAATTTCTACTTCATCGAAGACAAAAGCTCAAATGGCACCTTTGTGAATGGAGAAAAGATAGGTATGAATAAGAAATTTTACGGTGCAGATTTATATTTAAAAAAAAGAAGCTTAAGTAAGGCTGTTTTCAACACGATTTTCTGGAAAAAATAGTTAAACATATAGTGATAAAATGCATTCGACGTGATTACATGTGACCAGCTTAAAATTGCACATGTAGTTTCATGAAGTTTCATGAAGTTTCATGAATTTATAAATCACTATCAGTCCAGAGTAATTTTTAAAATTATGAAATGAATACTATTTAAGCAAACTAGTAGATTAATATATTTATTTTTACTAAAATCAAATTTTTAGAGAATAAGAGTGCAACATTTTTGTGTTGCCTTTCAGGCAATGTTATACCGTGAGCATTGGGCAGTTTGAATGTCACTGTCCTGTGAAATTGATCTAGTCGCATTGATTGTGATGTGCCACAGTACACACAACACTACAAACTCACTACCCGGTATCTCATGTGCTATCACTGTAATTCTAAAAGCATGATGCTGCTAGATTTTTTTCTAGAATTACTTGCAGGCATATGTGTCTAAAACTTCCTTTATTTTAACTAATAACTTTTTAGGTTGAAAATAGAGGAAAGGTTCCATATTTATCCATATGTTTGATGCTGTTATTTAGTAATCATCTATAATATTATACATGATCAAGTTTTTTTTTTTTAAATGTCACATACTGTATCTTCCATTATGACATCAGCTGTGTGTAACCCTTTTCTGTCATTTTTACAACTTCTAAAGGTAAAGGAAAGAAACAAGTTCTAAACAACAATGATGAAATTGCTCTATCATTATCCAAAAACAAAGGTAGGTGGATGTTATATTTTCTTCTTTTACTCCTTATTTTCATGTTTTGTCGTGTGTGTAATTTCTATTTTTTTTTAGAGCATTACATGATTAAAAATTTGAAAGAATAGAAGTATTGTAGTGTTCTTTAATGAGAATATATAGTTTGATTCTTGAGGAGTATAAAAGACGTAAACACAAAGAGCGTGTTTAGATATGTGTGGTAACCCCCGCTACCCCCCCCCCCCCCACCCCCCCCCCCCAAACAAAAATGCCACAGTTTTTTTTGGTAACCAAAACGTGAATGGTAACAAGGCTCCTACATGTACATGTACATGTACATGAATTCACTTATGTCTGTGTTATAATAAAATATAGTACAGGAATGTGAAGTATATTACAATTCATGTCTTCGTAAATAATGTTGCAGTATACCGTAGCATATCCAAACATTTTTAACATACTATTTTATTTCTGATTTCAGCCTATGTCTTCATGGACACTAAAGACTCAGATCAAAGTAATCTACCAGTAGCCCTCCGAGAGAAGTTCATCATGTCCAAGGTATTAGGCAGGTAAGTCCACCAAAATAGCTTTTTGACTAACATTTTGACTTTTGTTTTGAAATTTGTTGAATTGTTTATCATTATGGATAAGAATGTAAAGCAAAACAACAACCAGAAACAAATGAACAAAAAATTTAACAACCACGAAAACAAAATGAAAGTCATAAGTAACATAATGAACTTATAATTTAGAGATGATATATTGCTTCATGTTTAACAAAGTTCGAGTTTTCTCAGTATTTGAGGAAATGTTATTGGTTGTTGTTTGCTAGTCTAGTACCGTATGGATCCTGGGGGCCTACTCTCTTTCTGTAAACAAACACTGAAGACCTCTACTCTAATCTTGGCTCACTGTTTAATACAGATAAATTTGGCTCACTGTTAAAGATAAACTTGAGTTCTGGTAAATATAAAAAATAAATTCTCATAGAATCCAACAAAACTTAAACTGAATGTTCAAGATTATAAATAAATGATATGTGCCAAACAATTTTGGCAGAAAATGTATAGTGGCTGAGTACATGTAATGGGCATAGCAAAATAAGGAAATCCGGGATAGTACATGTACATGTGTAGGCCCGACACCATGTGCTTATTAAGCACAGGTCACTATGTGCATATGGGAGTTGTGGTTTTTATCGATGATGATGATGCCCAGTAAGTTTTTGTGCATTTGTTTTTATTTCACTGCTTATTTCTACTGCAGGATAAACGATCCAGGATAAAATCATAGCATTTTTCTCTCAAAATATGATTCCCATACCAGAGCTCAAGATTAACTTTAAATGAATTATCTTGGAGTGATCATATTTTCTTGAATGAAAGATACTGTAAACACTTTTAAAATTAATTCAGCACTGTTGTATTGTATGCCAATCAAAGGTATAGCTCCTTTATGTAGCTTTTAATCCTGTAATTAAAATTTCATTTTGGTCAAATGTAAGATTTCATCAGGATGCAATTATCTTCTCAAATTCATAGCACCTGTTTCATAAAGGAAATGTAACCTCATCCTGTATAGACATGTTGAAGCTAAAAATAGACGTATTACCGTAATTATGAATACATTGTACATGTTCTTAGCCATTTGTATGACACATCAGTTTGTCTGTAAAAAGAACTGTCAAGAAACGAAGTACAGTGTAAGATGCTCTACCAAATTTGTTTCAATGTTCTTTGTTCGAGTTTCCCCGTGGCAGTTTTTGGGGAAATCCATTCTGGCATGAAGTTGATTTTTAACATTGAAAGTTACCTGATGAAGACAATAAAAAGTATGAAGATACACCAACAGTATATTGGTGGCCTGTACTTCTACAGAAAAAGAAGAAGAAAGACGAAAGAATGTTTCAAGTTTTTAGGATCACTGACCAAATCGGCAATTACCATTATATTATCGTATTTGTAAGGTACTCTCCATTTGTTTTGTACAAAACATCTTCATAAATGTCCATTTTATCTGAGGATTTATCAAACGAAAGTATTCCCCAGGTATCTCATTTTCTCACTGTCATCAAATGAACTTGATGGTTGGACTTCCCCGTAAAGTCTGTCTAAAATAAATTAGACAGTCAACCAGCTTCTACGGCAAACAATGTTTTGAAATATATGAACAAATAATTGGAGTACCTCATGCTCAGTATATTTATATAATATATATCCATAAGACCATTACCCAAGGAGTAAGAGATAAAGTTGAGTTCTGGTAAAAAAAAAAATGAATTCTCACAGAATCAAACTAAACTTACACTGAATGTAATGTCATTTGCCAAACAATTTTGGTAGAAAATGTATACTGGCTGAGTAATGAGCATAGAATGATTTATAAGGAAATCAAGGTAAGTAGGCCTGACACCATTTGTGTAGTCCCATATACCGTACATCCTTCTGTGTACAGTGCTTGTTACTTTACCAAGACTGGGCCAAATTTATTATGATTTTGATGACTCCAGAACCTTGCAGTACACACCAATACTTACAAGTACATGCTACATGATCAACTTTTTCTGATCCATTCCACACCATTTCTTTCACAATGCAGTCACATGACCAGAACTCGACTTTATCTTTAAATGCATTACTTTCATAATTTCATTTGTTCAGGGGTGCCTGTGGGCAGGTGAAGCTAGCGTTTGAGAAAGGAACGTGTCGGAAGGTCGCAGTCAAAATCATAGAAAAGAAGACGTTCTCAATAGGTGGGACTATGGTCAGGGTAAGAGTCTTCACTTAAATCTGTGTCACTTGTTTTGTTTGTTTGTCGTTTGTTTGTGTGAATAAACTAGTGGAATAAATTTTGTTCAGGATTCACCAGCCAGACAGTGTGGCTTGTAATGATTATTGTTATTTTGGATTGCTAGGATATGGGCCCATCATCTATTCAATTTACTAAACTGGGGTAAAAAAAAAAGAAAAAAAAAAAAGAAGCTTTTTCCACTTTCAAGGAACTAGTTTTAATTTCTTATAATTCCCAGTCATTGGCAGAAGGTGGCTTTCTTTTTTCCTCTTTTTGTTTTTTCTTTCTTTATAGAAATAAAATAAAAAATTTGAGAATGTTATTAGCTTGTACTCAATGCATATATGTGTATTTCGGCTAAGCTACTGTGACTGATAGATAAATCTTATAGAAATGGTATGGTATATGTACATGTATATAAAGTGGGATGTCTGTAGTGTTAATTATGAAGAATTAATATTACTATGGTCAGTAATTTTGTTATTTCAGAATATGGAGAAGACTGTGATGGAAGAAGTCCGGATACTCAAGAGACTTCACCATGTGAGTGTTAACATGTGATTGTTAAAGTAGTCCCCTGAAGAATCAAAAGTGTTTTGAATTAATGCAAAATTCATATCATTGTGAAGGGAAGCCTTACTGATCAAATATAACAACTTCCCTCTTCAAAATATGTTTGGGGCCCGCAGTAATCATCTCTCAAAAATGTTGATTTTGAGATCCAGATTTTCTGTCTTCAGCTGTCCTCAGTAGAGCATCAAGATTCATGACGTCATTTGTGAGACACAGCTAGCCACAAATCACTTTACGCCTTTCCATGATATCTATATGATTTTTCAGCAAATTATTCATGTTTTTCAAGAGAAAATCTTTCCATCCATAAATAATTTTTTCATAATTATCAGTTGTCGTGAATTTTCTTTGGGTGACTACTTTAATGGTGCCTAGTGTAGTTAAGCTATTGGAGAGGGGGGAGGGGGGGGGGGGCACAGGGTAAATTCCCCCCTTGAAAATGGGGGAGAGGAATATGACAAGGAAAGAAGTTAGGATCACCTAGCACCCCTCCCCTCCCCATTTGATGGTATTCTTATGACTTCTTTATAGGCCAGTAATTTCTGTTCATTATTTAATCAACATTTTGTATTAGGATGACTCTTTACATGTTTTTTTGATAAATTCAGTGTGACTTCAAATAATAATAATTTATCTTCGATAAGATAGCTTTCTTGAAAGGTATAGCACTGTAGATCATAATTCCTCACTTTGGTATCAACATCGGAAGTTTTTTTTGAAAGGTTGTTTAATTGACCTAGAGGTCAGTCACATAGATAGGTTTGTAAAGATATTCATTGTTATATCCCTCTTACACACTGTAATGTTGGCACCCTTCCCTATGTAGCCTTACTTCCGGGAAAATATATACATTTATCACAGTAAACATATAACTTTATCTGAATTGAAGTATGTTATACGTACATCGCGAATACATTGTAGCACACAAGTAATCATGTTTTCTTTCAAAAATCACTTACATGTATGTTGAAGGAAACCATTCTAAAAAGAGATTATGTTCATACTATTTGATGAAATATTTGTGCTCCTTTATCAAAATATGATAGTGCCAGTGGTTTACCTCCTAAGTTCCTAACTATTAGCACTGAAATTATTTGTTGGTGAAAAGTCAATGATGATGTAGCCCTAGTTAGTGGAGGTTTAGACATACTATTCAGTAACAGCTTTCATTTGTACTAGTTTGTATATGCAAATAGTTATAGCACGCTTCAGAAGAATTACAAATCCCCTGGAATCTAGGCTACCATCATTCAATTTGAATCAATAACCTTTGGTTTGTTAGCCCTGGGCATTCCCATTCAATTCATGTTGATTTGGCACTGAGTGATGTTTGTTATCGATGATTTTTTTTTCACCACCCATGAACCCAAAATAATGCAGGGTATCTTTTTATTTTGCCAGGCATTATTACAGCTATTAAATGCACAAGTTCTTTGTTGATTTGGCATTTATAATCACAAATTGCAATTCATTTGAACCACTGTATTTAATGATTTGTGATTCTATTTTAATGATGGTGGTTGATATTTTCGTTTTATTTCTTGTTTTGTTCAGCCATGTATTATAGGTATAGAAGATGTGTGTGACACGCCAGAGGTCCTGTATATTGTATTAGAATTGTGAGTAAAACATCTACATTAAAGTCCCTCTAAAGTGTTGGGAGCCCCAAATTTTGCCAAAGATTTGAATGGCAAAATTTCACTTATAAATTGTATCATAATGTGAAAGAGGATATCATTTAAGACACACTTCTGCAAAGATTTCCCCCCAAAATGTGCTTGAAGACAAATATTCATAAAAGAATACCGGTACTTAATTTGGGTTTTCAGTGGTAGGCAGAAAAATTTGAATTTTGTATTCTTTCATCAATATTCGACTTCAAACAAATTTGTTTTGAAAAACCTTGCAGAAATGTATCTTAAATGACATCCTCTTTCACATTATGATACAATTTACGTGAAATTTAGCCATCAATTTTTGTGGGGCTCCCAACACTTTATAGGGGGGCTTTAAGCAGTTCTATATTGTAATGAGAGCTAAATAATGCCACAATTTTCCTAGTGCCTCCATTCATTTTCAAATCTGCAAATACAGACTCGCTACTTTCTTGTGTTCTTTTTGTTCTGTAATAAAGATTTTGCTATGTTACAAAAAATGCATAAAGCGTAAGCAATAAAGAAATTAAGCAGTATGATGATGTACTTTATGATCATTTATGAAAACTTTTGGAGGAATTTTGTGTTGATGGAGTTACCAAATCTGTTATTTAACAGATCCTGTAGGAAGAAATTCCTTGAATATTTGAGCACTTTATTGGTAGTTTGGCTAAAGTCAGGGTAATAATATGATTGCAGGGCATTCATGTAAAAATGGGTAAACAAATTGTTGTTGTTATTGATGTAACATGAATATTTTTGATGTTGAGGAAGGAGCAGTAATGATAATGATGTATCAGAATAAACAGGATGTTGAAATGATACTTGTTCAAAATGTTTTCGTTCAAAAAAAAAACAGATAACAATATTTTTGTAAATTATAATGGTTACTTACAAAACAATGTTGAAAACTGCTGCCTTCACCAAGTCGGTTAGCATGCTCTGTGATTATGTTTCAGAATATTATTATTATTATTATTGTTAATATTGAGGAAGGAGCAGTAAATAATATTGATGTATCGGAATAAACAGAATGTTATCATTTTTTCAGAGTCGAGAGTGGAGAACTGTTTGATAGAGTGGTGAGTCTAGGCAAGTTTGATGAAGCAACGGCAAAGTTTTACTTCTATCAGATGATCACAGCATGCAAGGTACGCATCAAGATATAATTCGTGCATAGAAATCTACCGTACTTAATCCAGTGTATTTTCTTTACGGTTGCCACAGAATTAAAGATACAGAATTAGCAAGCACATATTCTGGCCAAGAATCTCGAGTTGATACTAAATTTAGCAAAACTTTGGGTTAGACTACATGTAGCATCCAAGTTGAAGGCGGACCTTAACCGACACTCGATCATAAATCTGCTTTGTGAACAATGGTGCTTATGACAGATTATATACCTTTAAAGAAATGAGTAACTGAAAAATAGGCCCCTGGCTCCTAAATCCCTTCCATTTTGTTTGGGAAAGTTCGAATGCATCTTTTGCTGTGATTAGACAATTTTTTAATGCTTCATCTTTAGCATAGATCTAATGCAGCAGCATGCATTCATTATAATATGTATTACCCAACTACAAATTTACATTTGATAGTCCAATTGTGGGCTTTTTAGATACATCAGTCCGCTTTGGAGAAATGAAATAATTTTATGTGCATACTAACAAGCCTATTTTATTTATATTTCTAATCGTCCCAAAAATTATTGTTTCAATATTAAGTGTAATTATTTATTATTTTGTACAGTATCTTCATGACAATGGAATAACACACAGGGATCTCAAGGTAAGAGTAAAAAAAGCTTTTGTTTTTGTATTTTGACCAATTAACACAAGTGATGAAAATCCAACTACAACTTTCACTGTTGGGTAGCCAAGGCTAGCTTTGTTTATTGCGTAACATATGTTTTTGTGAGATTTGCACCTCATTAAACATCCAGCATGAGCTACTTTCCCGATAACAATGGACTCAACTCAAGATTCAAATCTAAATCTGAATTGAACCTAGAAGAAGTATCTCTTAATAAATAAGCCAAGAGCACTTGTTGAATCTCTGCTTTATTATTCAAGGAAGTGAATGGAGATTTGTTTTAATTGATTATTTTACTTCATAATTCTCGTTCAAGAATTTATGAGAATCTGCCCGTGCATTACGTTCTGCAATTTTTCTTTGTGTGAAACATTTTTATAACATAGAAGGATTAAACAAGAACTTGTATTCAAAATTTGATCGTTATTTTATGAATAATTAGAGGGAAGAGTATAGTTGCCCACCTCTCCCTCCCTTTATCATAAAAGGTCAACTAATGACAGTTCTTGTCAATTTCTATTTTTCAACAGTAGCCACGATTGCTTCAAAAAATGATCTGCGCATGCACCGGCGGGTTCTCATATATACTCTTCCCTCTAATTATTCATAAAATAACGATCAAACTTTAAACATAAGTTCTCGTTTAATCTTCCTATTATACTGTTTTATATCTCTCTTTCTCCCTCTCTCTTAAAAAATAAGCTGAGAACACTTATTGAATCTCTGCTTTATCATTCAGATAAATTTAATTTATTACTACCCCTCTTTGATCCGCAGCCAGAGAACCTCCTCCTGATGTCCGACGACAAGGAGACCATCCTGAAGGTGACCGACTTTGGCCTCTCCAAGTTTGTGGGTGAGCAGTCCCTGATGAAGACGCTGTGTGGCACACCGACCTACCTCGCTCCGGAGATCTTGACCAGTATGGGCATGGGTGGCTACACCAAGGCCGTGGATTGCTGGAGCATAGGGGTCATCCTCTACATCTGTCTGGCGGGGTATCCTCCCTTCTCGGATGAGATTAAGGCGATGAACCTTGATGAGCAGATCAAGAGGGGTTACTACAGCTTTCCAACAAAGTACTGGGGCTCGGTTTCAGCGCCAGGTACAGTTTGATAATAATAATAATAGCTTGTTCTTATATATCGCTTTTCAGGACCACAGGTCCTCTCAAAGTGCTTTACAGATATATATCATTACCCCGGTCATCGGATTCAGGCTTACCGGCACACAATGTATGCACATTCTCCACTCCCTGGGGAGCATTTCAGCAAGGCATAATATTTACTAGTGCGCACTTGCATTATCTTTCTCATCCTACCGGGTACCCATTTAACACCTGGGTGGAGAGTGGCAAATGTTGATCATTGTCTTGTCGGGCCAGAGTTGGGCCAATGTTGAAGTCTTACAGATATGTTCTATGTTTCTGCAGAATTGTTGACTAGGGCAATGAAAAAAAGGATTATGTTATCAAGTGAAAATTGTCCTCAGTCTTAAGTCAGTTCCTTGCACTTTTCAGATGAATAGATGTCTTCATCAGAATGATATGATGGATATCCATCCTCACATGTCTAATGTGGCAAAGTTGATAGGGCCTGATAATATCGTCGGCCGGCTGGCAGAAGGGCATTAGCGTTCGAGCGACTCCAAAACTACTTTTCAAATTATTTGCATTTAAAGATTTGTTTTATATGTAAACTGCTTTCTGTCCCAAAAATTGATTTAAAACTTAAAAGACTAATAGAAATGTTATAATAGTAGAACACGGCCACAATTTTTGTGTGGAAAAAGTCAGTTTCATAAAAGTTTGAGGCGATTTAGTGCTAACGCCCTTCTGCTTAACGCTTACCTGCCATAGTTTACAGGAGGGATAAGACCGCCCTACAAGGTCACTGGACATGTGGTTATCTCATCAACTCAGCTCTCAGTTAACATAAGAAAAAGAGGATCATGGGGGACCAATGGTCACCGATTAAGCATTGTTTGTTATATAGAGGGCGCAAGTAGCTTCAAGTAGTGCAGTGGGCCTTTAATGCTTAATTTTTTACCTGAAGTTCTAGCTAACGCCCTCCTGCCAGCCAGGCGACGATATATAGAAGTGCAGTGTATCAGTATATGTGCTATGGAGTCTTGTAAGAAGATGTTGTTCATGTAGGGCGCCTTTCTGTTTTATGCATTTGCAACTATGGTACAAGAGTCATCAATGTGTTGGGGTTTACTTTTTTTTTTTTAAGTATTACCATAGTAGCTTGAGTTACTTTGATACAAATAAGTGAGGGGGGGGGGGATAACTGACAGATGTTTTCTAAAATTCAATAGTCTTTTAGCAGAAATTTTATACACTGAACTTTCTCCTTGAGCATAGATAATTTTAGAAGGCCATGTCCCTTGAATATTCAACTAATTTCTTTATAAATTGAATTAATTTCCTTTGAATTCAGGTTTTGACGTGATGAAGAAACTTCTTGACAGTTTTGACCAATCAAAGGCCTAGAATTGTGATATGTGGTACAGTCAAACCTCTATATAGTGACCACCCAAGGGAAACACAAAAAGTGTTCATTGAAGACAGGTGGTCTTTGTAGACAGGTTCTTTTAGTACATGTTTCAATGAGAAATAATTTTCAAGGGGAACGAATAATGTGGCCTTTGTAGACAGGTGGTCACTAAAGCAGGTTTGACTGTATATAATAACAACTAAATCCCATTCTCTTCAATGCAGCAATTGACATGGTTAAGAAGCTACTGACCGTCGACCCGAAGCGGAGACTGACCACCAAGCAGGCCTTAGCTCATCCTTGGCTACAGGACCAAGAGGTCATTGATAAAGCCGAAAAGGTCATGTATCCAAACAGGAATGGCCAGATGCTTCCTCCTTCTGCACCGGTAAGGTCTTATTATTCACACTTTATGTGGTAAAATGCCTTTTAAAATAAGGCACTGCCCCAAAATAAAAAGCATGCCGCAATTCACATTTCTGTATCTGAAAAAACACACAGATAAGGGAGAACGCATAGGGACCTCTGTTGTATGCACTTTTATTTGGTCCCAATTTCCCATTGTCTCCAATAGACCATAAACGATTTTTGTAATTTTGAATTCCAATCATAAATATCTTGATAATCAAACGGGCGATCGTCTTGTAAACTTCATGGGATTCCTGACTGACCTAAAGACTTATAATTAGGATTGCACCATGAGCTAAATGCAGGATTTTGTTTAGAATCAGAAGCAAAGATGCCCAATCTCTTTGAAGAGAAGGTTGCGTTCTGGGAGAGGGGTTAACCCTATGTTAAATGGGGGAGGGGGGGGGGTCAGTTTGACCCCCTCCCCCCCCCCTGTAGAAATTTCGCGACTTCTCCGAAACCGCGGCAGATATAACATTTTCCTTTCATGACTTTTTTCTTTCGAGTCTTACGCATCTTTTAAAAAATTGTTTTTGAAAATCAAACGTATAGTTTCAAAGTCACATGACTTTTTGTCTTTGCCTGTCAGCTCGAAAATCGCTCATTTTTGTGATTTGTGTACAAAACATATGGAAATATCATTTTTCCTAAAAAGAGATAAAACATTGGTTATTTAGTCTTGTTTAAAGTTTAGGTGTTTGTTTTGGGTCAAAATAGTTGAATAGTAGTTAAAAATGAAAGAAAACAACAAAAACAATAAAATACATAAGTTAAAAAACAATGAAATACATAAGAAATTATCAAAACAAGAGATAACATAAGGAATAACCTGGCTCTTCCAATTGTTTGTGTTGTATTATTCTTCCAAATTATTATTATCTAACAAATATATGTAGTGAAAAAGAATGCTTAAATATGAATAATGTATGATTTATGGGCAAAAATGTGAATTTATGACCTTATTTGCATGAATTACCATAAATATGCAAATGAGTGAATTTTTCAAAAAATTGAAATTACCATAGTATTCTATACCGAGAATCGTACGGCGTAACGTAACTCGCTGGGCTGGTAAGAAGGCATCATAGAAAGGACAGGCCAGGGAGCGTGAGTTGGAACTGTGTGCGGATCGTGGTTTAATTTGAAATATTTTTTTTTTTTTTTTTTTTTTTTGTAGACTATGACTAATATTATATTAAAATGAGATTGGAAAAAGAAAGAAAAAATAATCATTTTACCAAGACATTAAAAGAAAGAGATGAGATGAAATTGGCAACAATAGTCAAATTTGACTAATAGCCATTATAATACCAAACGAACAACAACAACAACATACACTTCACTTGACATGTATGCAAATTTTCGCAGCGATCAGCAGTGAAACGGCCGAGATCTTACGGGGGGACCCCCCCCCCCCCCCAGTAAAAACCTGGTCTGAAATAGCCCAGTTAAAATAGGGTTAAAGGTAAAGACCAGTTACGGTCATGCGATTGCATTGTGAAAGAAACGTTGTGGAATCGATCAGAAAAGGTTGATCATCTAGCATCTAGCATCTGCAAGGTTCTGGAATCATCAAAATGATAAGAAACTTGGCCCATTCTTCGTAAAGTTACAAGCACTATACACAGAAAGATGTATATGGGACTACCCTATATCTCTCACAGACCATGAGAGAAACAAATTTACCAAATATATGAATTAGTAGGCGGTTTCCCGGCAAATTTTTTATCATCATGTATTAGTCAAAACATATTCTTTCACATGATTGGTAATGAGAGCTTCCATTTCATTTGAAATTGGGGCATTTCCAATACTGGTCTTTACCTTTGAATAATGTGTGAGCATTTTTGTTGTCATTATGCAAGTGGAAGAACATCATAGAAAAAATGTCCTCTGAAAAGTATGGCTCTACAAATGCCTTAATATTCTAAATATAACATGTAATAGCCTAAAAATGAAGATCACAGTTTTATGCCACATGTTTGTACATCTTTCTGTGTACAGTGCTTGTTACTTTTACCAAGACTGGGCCAAACTTCTTATCATTTTGATGATACCAGAACCTTGCAGTGCACACCATTAATTATATGCTACATGATCAGCTTTTTCTGATCGAGTCCACACCGTTTCTTTCACAGTGCAATCGCCTGACCAGAACTCAACTTTATCTTTAAGTATCAAGTCTTTAAGTGCTATTTCAATGCAAATTATTAAATTATGTGGCCCTAGATTTCAGTTCTATTTGATAGAAGCATGTTGTCTCCTTGAGTTCTGTATCTGTAATTTCTACCTTTATTTCCTTCTCATTTCTGCTCTCTGTAGGTTCCCGGGATAAAGAAGCGTCCTAGAGAGTCTGCAATGAGCACAGACGATGAGCACTGTGATGACTCTGGCATAGGCTGTATGAGCTCCAGAAAGATGTCTAGGAGTGATGACAGTGGAGATGGTGCCTTTGACAAGACGGAAGACGTGTCAAAGGTTGTGGCAAAGGTCGCTGCTAAGGTTGCTGCAGGCGGAGATGCGTAATCACATATGTAGCTGGTGAGCATCTGTGATTGAAATCACCAATGCCTTCCTTTGATTGGACAGTTCACACATACTTCGGCCTCTACCCTTTGTTATTATTATTATCATCATTATTAATGGTTTAAAACCTTCCGTGCCTAGGAGAGTTAAAGACGTATGCAACCCCATTAACCTCTGGGCCGCTTACGTTTTCTTTTCTCGTATAGATATTATTGTTCCCGTGTTTGTCTCCTTGAGTTCTGTATCATGTTATTTGTTACCTTTTCTTCTTATTTTCATCTATTTTGTTTGTTCTTTGCTCATGTTCTCCCAAATCAATTGAGCTGAAATCAGTTTACCCTCTGAACTACAATTGAATACCATTCTTGCTTTTTACTTTTTTAATGTAATGAACCAAAAGTAGTATTATATATCTGTAGCAAAATGCAGGCAAGGATTCAGGTGTGGGAAAACCGACCCATTCACCCCATTTTGGCGACTAAAAAAAAACAATTAAAAAAGGGGGGAAAATAATCCTAGGTTTGGGTTAGAGTAGTCGCACTGCCACGGACTTCCAGGTGTTCATTTTTCTTCCCAATTCTTCTTATTTCCTTCTCGTTGTTGCCAAATTTTTGTTCCCATTTTGCCAAAGTTTTCACTTTTCTTCTCAAATCTCCCCTTTCCCCAAAAAATTTGTTTGTCATGGGAACTCCACCCCCCCCCCACCCTTCCCGGGTACGCTACTGAGTTCATAAACAGCTTGGCGTTGCTCTACCGGAATTTGTGCAAAAGTACAGGTCCGTTGCGCACCTCGAACGGACCTTGAGCCTATATCAGCGCATTAACAGCACCACAGGCAATATTAAGCAATATTGCAAAGATAAAGTCTATGACCATATGGAGATATTCTTTGAGATATTTTTTTATGTATGTAGATAGTAATGTGCATCTCAGGAGTTTTTGCATATGGATGAGAACAAAGGCATTTTGAATTAATGTCAATTATTTGCATCAATTCAGTACATGACAGTGTGATGCCGAGTCAGACTATCGTTTAAAGATAAACTTGAGTTCTGGTAAAAAAAAGAAAATTAATTCTCACAGAATCAAACAAAAATTACACTGAATGTTCAAGATTACAAATTAATGTCATTTTCCAAACAATTTTGGTAGAAAATGTATACTGGCTGAGTAATGAGCATAGAAAGATTAGGAAATCATGGTTAGTAGCCCCGACACCATTTGTGTAGTCTCATATACATTTTTCTGTGTACAGTGCTTGTTACTTTACCAAGACTGGGCCAAATTTATTATGATTTTGATGACTCCAGAACTTTGCAATACAGTACACACCAAGCAGTACACATCAATACTTACATGCTACATGATCAACTTTTTCTGATCCATTTCACACCTTTTCTTTCACAATGCAATCGGATAACCAGAAGAACTCACCTTTATCTTTAATATCTGTGTTGGTTTGGAAGAAGACTGGTAAAAGTTTCAATTTCTTTGTACGACTTGGTCTCTCTGACTTGTGTCTGTCTATTTCGTGTAGCAATATGTGTATTAAGGTACTATTTTTTCATTTTAAAAAAAAACACATTTTGAGTGAAACGTTGTGACTGACAATTGGTATTTTTGTCAAGGTATCCACTTCAAGGTTCACAAGGAATATAGAGGTCTATGAACCAAACCCTTGTAAATAAACTTACCGTACATCTAGAATATATGAATGCAGAAACAAAGTATTAAATATTTGAAGTATCGTGGACAAGTCGTTTAATAATTATATCTCTAAAAAAAATATGCTAATGGACAAATTACAATTTAGAATTTAGACCAATTTGAAGATGAATATTGTGTGAAGTTGCCTTTGTACTACCAGTAATATGTCGGTGTATTTCAGTTTCAAGTAGTAAGCCTGAATCATGCTTCCATAGTCTTTTTTTTTTTTTTAAAGACGGAAGAGTGTTTACTCACATCATTTCAAAAATAGCTAATGCCTTTTCTTCCTCTCAAAAAAACAATTTGCCTTTAAGAATTTCTTTCAGTTTTAGTTACCTACTAAAGACACTGAAGTGGTCGAATCGAGAAAGAGCCACCGTCAAACATGTGAGGAACAGGAAAAACAGTAGAAACCTATTTGGTTGTCTGGTATTATACAGGTGGATCCTATGATTTTGTTTTCCTTCTTAAAATTTGAGAGATATACATTGCAACATATTATGTTATCAAAAGTACTTTTCTCTTGCATGCATGCTAATGTTTTCTCTAGATGATGTAGCCATTAAGCTCATTTGTTTAATTCATTGATACAAGTAATGTATTGAAATTGTCTCTATGTTCAATGAAAGCAAGTATATATCTTGTTTTTCACACTAATGTTTAATTTTTTGCTACTGAAAATGTTATTGTGCATATAATATCTGTCCATTTGTGGATAATTAAGGCATGCTTCACATGTATTGCTTTGATTTTTTTAAAGATATTTGAAGAATATTCTTTGCACATGTATTGAGTAACTGATATAATACAAATATGAACAAAACTATACCATTTTTTTTGTCTGTAAATAATATTGCTGCATTGCCAAATTTAAAGGATAGACCATAACTTCTACTTTAGAAAGAAAGTCTTCATTTTGTGAATTTGTGTTGTACATGATAATAATAATGCTATATTAAATTAGATTTTAGGCTAGCTACATACCGTCCTGGTAAACAATATTCTCTACTATTTGCAACAGAATTTAGGTGCTTTTATTGAAATCATGCTGAAACAATTTTTGCCATTTACACTTTTATTGTAGGATTGATATTCATGTTTGTTAATTTTGTCTACAATTATTGTACCGATGCAGTATGAATATATATTTTCTTTCCAGATTTAATCCTGGCAGGAAGTTTAAATGTATGTTCTTGATTTTTTGTTAGATTCAAGATATTGTTACGCTTGAAGATTTTTTGTTGTTGACAATCATTCATTTATCTAAATTCTGGTGAAAATGAAGAAATGAGGTGTGAGTATTCTCATTCTCTGTACCTGTATGTTAGTTTGGCAGAATATCAGAAGAAACGTAACTTGACAAGTATTGCTCTTCTTGTGCAGTCATATTCAAAATATGACGAGAAAGCTTTGAATAGTTTGGACCAAAAATTCATGTCTTTTGTGTGTGTAGTTCACACATATCAGTGTGCAATGCAAATTTCAGCTAGACTGTCGATTTCTCATCATTTTTGATGATTCTAAAACCCGACAATATACACCAACTATTATGCACTACATAATCAACATTTCCCAGTTTTTTTCAAAGCGTTATTCCTTGACCAGAACTCAGTTCTAAAGAACCTGTGTATGATTTGTTACGAGATAGTATGTTATTGTTTAGCATTTGTATTCAAAGAAATAATTTATGTTCATTCGTAGTTCAGTTTTTATCTTGTAGATGATGTATTTCATGGTCTTTAAACTTAAAATTATTTTATTATTAGAGAATAGAATATTTCTTTGATTTGTTTCTTTGAATATTCAGCCGACAATATTAATGTTATGTTTGCATACATTTCTGGGGTTTTGTCTCCTAACTAGAGTGATGATATGTGACCAACCTGTATATAAGATGTAAATATATGATATTTTCAAGAAAGATATTGCCAACTGTGTTCGTAGATTCTAAATACCAAATGATTAGAACCTTATGAATATACAACTGATCGTACAGACTTGTGTTTCTGTAATTTCTTTTTCTAATAAATTGAAAACACTGGATTACTTTGGAATTTTTTTTGGCGTTTTTTTTCTCACAGTGATTGTTTCTTTATAATCAGAATTTTGTATCAGTCCTCTTCCTCAGTAAAAGACCCCACAAGTTAGAATTTAAACTGACATATTTGCCCCTCATGGCATATATAACATATTATTATGCACAGTTAAGTTGACATGGATTTTATTCTGTTGGTGAAGATGTGGATATCAAGCAATGATAATATTATTCTTCTCATATTCTGCAATTTTACATTTCAACTCTGATTTTTAATGATCTTTTCTTTCAAACTTCATCTTAATACAACACATACATGCATGTCATGTGTCCCATGTGTTGGATAAATTGTGCTTTTCTTTGATAGTGCACCCATACATGAACTCAAATCACAGAAGCAACAAATGCAAATGGTAGGATATTGAAAAATGGTTTGATTTCTAGGTCTGGCTTGACGACGTCTTTCTATTTTACATGTACAGTTAACTAAATTTGATGTTTTTTAGCTCAAGAATGAAAGGTGGACTGGTTGAATCAAGGCCTTTGTTGAATACTTTTAGATGAAAGCTTTAATTTGTCACATTCTCAAGAATCATAATTAATACATTTTTCACAAAGTTAAAGAATTTCAAAACTTGGCAAGGGTATGAATAATGTAGTTCTATATTGAGATTGTACTTGGTTCTCTATCTGGATCCCCCTCTTAGTCTATCTCCAACGCGAGTACTTCCTCTCATGTTTCAGTGAGGAGTTTAAATGTTTTTTTATTTCTATCAATTCGTTTTTAATTATCCTCCATATCTATCCCCATCTGTTTCTCCCTATATATCTCTTAATTTTGTCCTCTACATTTGTTCCATCTATATTCTGTCTGTACTCTTCTCTCTCCTCTATCTCACACCCGTCTCTCTCTCTCTCCCCTTTTTTCCTAACTCACACCCGTCTCTCTCTCCCTCTATCTCTCTCTCTCTCTTTCTTTCTTTCTCTCTATCTCTCTCCCTCATACCATCCTGTCCTTTCACTTCAGTATTCATTCTCTTCCCTGAAAAACTAAGACATTTAAGAACTGCAGCATTGACAAACAAATTTAGGATAAATGCTTTATATCATGATCATTCTCTTTGTACCGGTGCAAGAATTGCGTGCGTCGTGCAATCTGTGCAATATACGGGTACGCGTGGGGCGCGAGGAGATAGCATTGCATTCATATTCATTCATATTCATATTTATTTCATTTCCAACAGAAAGGTAAACAAAGATATTACATTTGATTTCATACATAATTCATTTTTTCAAGAAACTATACAAATAAACTTTGCACATAATAAAATTATTACAAGAATTTCTTAATTTCTGAGGAAATGGGGGGATCCACTAAAAAGCAGTGCTTGTATTAGTTGTGGATCCCCCAGACATCGCTAAGGCAGTTACTAGTACGCAAACACATAATTTACACGCTCCGGAATGATGAGGTGCTAATATTTTCGCATGTTGATAAATTAGTGAAAATATGCAACTCGCGAAATTCACGAAAACAACAGCTTATACAGTATTAGATACGTTGTAATGAAGGGGTTATACAGCACACTAAATCCAAATGGACACCTGAATTTCTTGTGCGAATATAACTGTTAAATACAAAATGATCTCTTTTCCATCTTTGATGTCTCTTACATTTGAATATTTGATGATTGAGTCTAATACAAACATCCACAATGAATGCCATATGAAATACAGTCACAGCCTGAACCAATATTATGAATAGATGCACCAATACATATGTACATGAACATGGACCATTACCATATGGCCAATCTCGTTATTATATAGATGGACTGTGGCATTTTATAGATCATACAAATATTCTTCCATGTTATGACAGCAGGACCCCCAAAATCCAAAGGAAATATCTCTTACAAATACAGATTTTTTTTAGATATACAAATTTGTTTTATAGATAACTAGAGCACACTGTTTATGCTTACTCTCGACATCATAAAAAAATCAGTAAATTAAATTTCAGTCAAACCTCTCTCAATTCACTGCAGCATATGATCTTGTATTCATCTAACAAATTACCGAAGATTTGAAACTCCAAATTTTCAATGAGAAAAAATGAAAGATAGTATTCTGGTCATTGTTATCTATTTGTCAAATAAAATATGAAATATAAAGGACCACAAAGTTTGGAAATTACAAGCTAATACTGTTAGCAGAAGCAAACTGCATGTATGTAAGAAAATCCAGCCCACAAAATGGAAACCAAAACTGTTTAATGACAAGACTACAAGTCTACCATCATTTAAAATAAAATCAATAGGCATATCACCCACCGGATGGCAATGAAATCCATTTTTAATTGAATAAATCTGGCCACTTTTGTCCTTCCAACAAAAATCAATAACCAGCTCAATAACAATAATAATAATTTTCCCTTTCATGAAATTGTCCACTTCTACCGTTCAGATAAAACACAACCTGTGAAATACCTGCACTCATACATTCACGGAAGACAGATAGATTATAAACCATTGATAGAAATCATCTTGGAGATTGTATCTTCTACTTTTTAAGTTTTTATAACAGATCACAGCTTTTGTTTTGCTTTGGCGAGTTTGTAGATGAGTTGGCAGACATCGTCAAAGATCTCTGGTTGTACGCGCTCTCTCACTCTCCCTATCCACGCCTTCAGCTTTGGTCTTCTGTCTATTGTGCCATAGCCGCAGGGTTCTACCTGCATAACCTGTTGGTTTGTGAAAAAGATTAAATATTTTAAGTTAAAGTCGAGTACTGGTCATGGAATTACACCATGAAAGAAACTGTCTGGACGCAATTGGAAAATGTTTATTATGGAGTATATTGAGCTTTGTGATTATCAAAATGATAACTAATTGATGCAATTGCTCAAAGCTGCATGCATTCTAAACAGAAAAATGTGCATATACATGTAGGATTAGAAACACGTGCTGCAATCAGTGGCATGAAAGTTTGGTCCAAACAATTCAGCTATTTCTTTTCATATTTCAAATTATTAATACCACTTGCAATTTTGATGTGTGTTTTTTCTTCTCGTAACTCAAGAAGAAAGCTGAACTGGCTGAATACTTTTGGATGCAAGAAACATAAATTGGGATAAATTATGTTTTTCATAAACGTGAAAACTTACAAAACAAGGTAAGGGTATGAATGATTTAGCTGTTAACTGTAGTTGGCCATATAGATGATCAAGGTACCTCGTTCACGCCAAACAGGTCTGCGATGGTGATATCATCCCCGCACAGGAAAGGTTTGTCCTTGAGAAAGTGTTTCTCTAAGTTGTCTAAGGTCTCTTCTATCCTCTGGATGTCTGGTGCAAGGGCCGCAGGGTCTGCAGGGGTGCCCGTCATCCGGGGGAAGATCACCTGTAAAAAGGAAGAGACAAGTAGGGTGTTATTTAACTTAAAGGCATTATTAAAACAGAGAAAAGTTGGAAGAGAGGGGGAGAGGGAGGAAAGAGACTAGATGAAGGAAAGAAGGAGGGAGGGAGGGGGAGGGGGGGGGGGGGGGGGGGGGGGAGGGAGAGAGGGAGGGAGAAAGAGAGAGAGATAGCAAGAGAAAGAGAGAGATAGAGGGGGAGGGAGGGAGGGAGGGAGAGAGAGAGATAGCAAGAGAGAGAGAGAGAGAGATAGAGGGGGAGGGAGGGAGGGAGAGAGAGAGAGAGAGAGAGAGATAGAGAGAGAGAGAGAGAGAGAGAGGGAGAGGAAAAGGGTGAGGGAGAGGAAGAGGGTGAGGGAGAGAGGGAAAATAGAGACATAGGGTGAGAGAGGAGGGAGACTAAGAGAGACAGAGAGGGAAAGAGCGATGGAGAGAGAGAGAGAGAGAGAGAGGGAGAGAGAGAGAGGGAGAGAGAGGGAGAGAGAGATAGAGAGAGAGAGAGAGAGAGAGAGAGAGAGAGAGAGGGGGGGGGGGGGGGAGGGGTGGGTAAGAGAAAGGAAGGGAGATGAAAAACAAGACTTGTATATTGATGTTTACACTTTAACATGTACAATAGGGAAAAAGAGAGCAAGATGGTGAGAGAGACAGAGCCAGACAGACAGACAGACAAGCAGAACGAGGTGGAAACATGACAAACACAACAGTTAGCTGTGCAAATCATTGATCAACGTATTCTTAATTAGACCAAATCTTTGATGTAAACTATAAGGGCAAGCCTCTTTGTAGGGGTTTATATGTTATCTATCTTGTACAATATAAGATACCAGAGGGTCAGAATCCAGTGCTGCACTGAAAAATACTATCAACTCATATTTACCCAGTTCCTATATATATATGAACTGGGTAAATATGAGTTGGTAGTACTTTATCTCAGTAGCTGATTGAAGTAGGGGCAGGTACACAGCCTGTCCATGCCCCTCAACCACATTTTAAACCCAATTTTACATAGCTGTGCACAACAGTGTAATGAGGTACCCGAGTACACTCCCAGGCTTACAAGCGAATACTCGAGTATTCGGACGCCATGTTTTTTAATAATTTTTTGAATTTTTTTGATTTGTTTTGATTTGTTTTGTTGTTTTTTTTGTTTTTTTTTGCCACCACCATACCACTGGGGCAGTATCTCACATCGCCGAAAACGCATGCAATTTTACTTTGAGTTGCAGTTGAAGGCGCCGATTTAATAATAATAATAACAGTAAACAATGCTGTTTTAAAAACCAAAGATGGCAGAATAATCCATTTTCCTCCAAGTCCAAACAGAAATCCTGACATTTGATCCCAGTTTCTGAGTGGTGAGTTTGACAGTGCTTGAGTTGGGAAGCATTTTTACTGACGGCACCATGCCAGCGGCCGCCGCTCACCCAGGCACGGGTAAGCGTCGGCCTGGACAGATTTTTTTTTTCGGGTACTAAAAATCGTACCCGAGTAGTTGTCAACCGTGCGGGTACTCGAGCATTCGACTACACGTCGCAGCCCTACGTGACCTGTACATTAAGTACCCCAAAACCCCTCCCCAATTAATGATATAATTTCTATGATTTACATAATTTACATGATCCAATGAGTTTATGGCTGTGTGAGCATTATTAATGAAGTTAAATCAATGCAATACACAACAATCTTTTACAATACTGAAATTGCACGCAATTTGATAAGTTTGACTCACTTCTGCGAGAAATACTTTAGTCATACGAGGTCTCGTATTGAAATGCTGCCAATCCAAATATTCATTGACCCTTGACCTCTGCTGAAGGCTCTTGGGAAACCAGTGATCCGCACAGTCAAACTTTTCATGAAGATACTTTGTGATGGATACACTTTGCGAGCCGGGAATATGAAGGAAGATAAGTGGATATAAGCAGAAAGATGAATGGAGTATGCACGATATATTGCATTTTAACTTTGGTGTCGGAGTATTTTAGGTGACTCCACACTTTCAAAGCAAGGTGTATATAAACTGATGGAAGTTTGAAACTTGAACACGAAGCAACTACATGTAACTTTAGAGCACTTGTCTATAGAACAAGGATTATTCAAACAATCCTTAGGAAATGTCCGCTTTTCTGTAAAGAACTTGGACTAACCTCTTTCAAAAAGACCTTTGCAACATTGATTCTGGTGTTCATGTGTTGCCAGGCGAGGTACTCATCGACTTGGCCCTAGTTTGGAGGTCGGATGGGTACCAATGATCAGGGCATGCATGCTTGGCCTGCAAGTATTTCACTATTGCGATACTGCATAGTTCAGAGAAGGAAAAAAATGTTCGGAAAACGCACAACAATAACAAAAATCACTACTGGGATAGCGTTAGTTCAGAGAAAAAAAATTGTTTTTTCAGAAATTGCATGAATCATAATTTGTTTCACTGTTATGATACCGCATTGTTCATACACACTGTAGAAGGAAAAATTTGTTCAGAAATTCCACCAATCACAGATTTTGGCATAAAATGAAACCTATGGAATTGCGATCAATAAATTAAAAGAAATCTTTAAAAATTGCAAAAAACTGCAGAAAAATGATCACAATTTGTAGCAATAGTCTAAAATGATTTGGGCCTATCCCAATTAGTGGTAACCATATGCAGTAGCAATTTCAGACAATTTTTTTTCTTTCTGAACCTTCAACAAGTCTCAATATTCCAATCACATTTCTTTAAAACCATAAATAATCAAAGATTGGCTATTTGACTATCAAGAAAATAGAAAAATAACATGTTATAGCAACTTTCAAAATTTATAAACACTGAAAAATGTACATTAGTTCAAGCCCCTTGTATTAGCATAGAAGCTATTTATACAAAATATACATCACAGCTTTTTTTTTCTTTGTCTGAATAGTAAGTAGTAAACAAAAGGAGGCGGGCACTGACGAGAAACTTGTTGTGTAATTTGGCCTGAAGCAATAGAGTACCGAAGCTGTGACGTCATAAATATCTATTTTTAGAATTTCTCATTTTTTCTTCATTTTCCGAAAGAACATCAAAAATAATGTCCAAATGTCGAAAACCAATAGAATATGTTAAGTTTTGGCTGAGATATGACCATCTGAATAAATATACTCCCCATAGGAACTCAGTGTTATATGCTCTGGCTCTGGTTAGGAGCCAGAGAATATAACACTGAGTTCCTATAGGACATATATTCATTCAGATGGTCATATCTCAGCCAATACTTAACATATTCAATTGGTTATCGACATTTGGACATTATTTTTGATGTTATTTCGGAATATGAAGAAAAAATTGAGAAATTCTAAAAATAGATTTTTGATGACGTCACACTTCACCACTCTATGGCATAGGCCCTCGTGTGAATTTCATTTTAGAGGGCAATCCAACCCTAGTAATACTTTCATTTGTATGACAACAGAATAAAAAGATTTGAAGAATGGCGAAAGTATAAAAATGAATCAGATTGTAGTGAAAAAGTTATTAATGTTTTAGATTTGAGCGCCCACGTGTCTGGGCACCTGTATACTGTTGAGCCCTGGAAAAGCTGACACATATTACCTTTTTTGTCCGCATTGAATCTTTTTAGGGTCAGATGGTGTGGGCCCCCATCTTTAAAAAATCCAAATTTGGGGGACTAAAATTTTGGGTGTCCATGTATCCCTGGCACATGGCAGTGTTGGGCCCTACAAAAGTTGATACATACCTCTCTGTGAGTTTGAACTCTCCATCTTGCATAGCCGGAATCTTCTTCATTGGATTGACGGCTGCATACTCCTCAGATTGGTGCTCACCTAAAAGGTCAAAGGTTACAAAAAAGGGCATGGTAAAGAAAAAAAGATAACAGAATAAAAAGATGGAATTTATACCAAATGAAATAGCACAAGGAACTAGACAGAAATAAAATTCTTCTACATGAAAAATTAATATCAGGGCATTAAATCACCCATATCATTCCCCATATTCATTCAGTATACTTTAACAACTTTCGAAAAAGAATGGAAAGTGATAATAACTTTGTCAGGACATGGGAAGCATCGCAGGAAGTATTGCCAAACTTTTACACTAAATTATTTTCATCAAGTTGGCATAGCATTGGCATAGCATTGCCATGCAAAATCAGCCTTTTTTTGTAGGCCTAACTTACACCAGAATTTTACGGTGCATGGTACACCCCTCTTTTGGCCAGGATCAACATCACTAATTTTCGTCATAGCCAGAGGTCATTGAATTGCATTTTGTCATTGAAATCACATCACTTCATCACATTTAACAGGATTCACACTCAGCTCAGAGTCAAACTAGGTCTACATGTAAAGTTAGCTCTGACCTCTGCCATTCGAGTAAGAAAATGCCTATATTCTTTCTTTATTTAATTTCATAGTGTGATGCACCGTTGATGCACAAATGAAATTTGTTCCTTCTTAATTTCAGCAAACGCTAACACACACCGTATAGTTTAATAAGGCTTGTGCCATGGGGTGGGATCAGGCCCGTGTCTTTCAATCGACATTCAGCAGAACGCCTCGATACACGCCCCCCGAACTCTGGCAGAGAAATGGATAGAATTAGTACGTGCACTTACTTTTTCGCATGGCTATTGGACATGGAGTGTATGGGATCTTGTTTGCCCTCGCAAACATCAACACCGACCTCGCAGGCTGCGACATCAAGTCGTAGAATATTTTGACAGACATTTTGCAACTTATTTAGGTAATAAATTGTGTAAATAACGATGCTTTTTACTGGCAGGTGATAGCCTTCCTATGTTTCGCCAGTATTAATATAACTCGCGAACGCGATCGCGTGCGCCGTTCACCATATATGCGGATGCACGATATATATATTTCTCTCTCTCGCGCGCGCGCGCATGAAAAATATCGCCAGTAATTATTCCGAGAACTAGACCGCAGCTTACAAAATAATGAAGTTCACCTTTATACACGAAATGTGGCGTTCAATCACATAGCGAGATACCAAAACGGTCTTCCATTAGAATAAAAATGGAAATAGAAATATAGATCTAAACAGAAACTGAATAAGAAATAGAAATTGGAATTATAGAAATATAGAAGAAAAAAAGGAAAATATAAATAAGAAATAGAAATTGAATTTGTATTTCTTGTTTTAAAAGGGCTAAAAGTTTATATTATTGCAATTTTACGTCTGAGCGCCCCGCCCCCCCCCCCTCCCTCACTCCGAGAACGGACGGACCCCATGCGTGTTACCAAAATATCCAGTAAAGGGGTTTTCGTGCGACAAAGTCCGGCTCGAGAATTGTAAAAAAAAGGGGTGTATTAACTTTTCACCCGGAGATTTCTTTAAAAAGGGGGTGTTTTTCCTTTTTTTCTCTCATCTCTTTGGACTCCTGAGAAATTATTCCGAATTTAGGGGGGGAAATTGAGCATTTTTCATGATTTAGGGGGGTCTCCGACTCCAAGGCAGGAAAAGCCCGCGAAAAGCCCGCGAAAGGGGGGTTCGGAAATGTTGGTAGTCCTCAGATAGGGGGTGCTTTCAAAAAGAGGGAACAAGCATGTATGCGTACCCTAAATAACACTGAGTGGGTAGGGGGCGGGCTGACCGCGTGCAGGAGCAAAGTTGCATTTTACGCCTCTTGATTGGCTGACAGTTATTTCTATCTTATTATGACATCACAATCAATGAAACTGTACACACACCAATGCGTTGTTATTGGCTGAAAGTCTTTCTCGCACTTCCATTATGACATCACAATCAGTTCAAAAGACATGAGTGCGCAGCCACTTGTTTATGCGTCTTGATTGGCTGAAAGTTTTCATCACCCTTTTGTGACATCACAAACACAGTTATTACAATCGCAATAAGTAAACAATTAAAGGGAAAGTCCACCCCCAAAATAAGTTTGTTTCGATAGAGGCAGAATAATAAGAAAATCAGGTGAGTGAAAGTTTGAGCAAATTCTGAATGAAAATAAGAAAGTTATGAATTATTGAAGTTGTGATCAATCAAATACAAATTGGCAACTCTTGGTTATTGATGACGGAATATATATTTGTTCCTTGCAGGGGGAGTATAGTATGGTGGCCCTGAAGGGACATCGCGAATAGACTAAATCGTGAAAAATATGCGATAAAATTCACGATATCGTCAATTTTATCGCATATTTTTCACGAAGAAATTCACGAAATTGACGATATCGTGAACTTTATCGTGAACTTTTCACGATGAAATTGACGATATCGTGAATTTTATCGTGAAAAGTTCACGATATAAAGTTCACGATATCGTCAATTTTATCGTGTACTCTATCGTGTACTCTATCGTGTACTCTCCTGACGGGCGCTTCGTAAACAAAACCAGCCCTAGCTGGGGGAGACAGAGAGAAGGAAAAAAGGGAAAGGGAAAGAGAAGATAAAAGGAAAGAAAGAATAATAAGAAGGAAAGAGGGAAACGGGGGGGGGGGCGAAGGGCTCTTGCCTCCTCCTCACCCCCCCCCCCGCCAAAAAATAAATAAGGAGAGAGAGAAGGGAAAGGGAAAGGGAAAGAAAATATAAAAGGAAAGAAAGAAGAGGAAGAAGGAAAGAGGGAAACGGGGGAAGGGCGAAAGGCTCTTACCTCCCCCCCCCCCCCCCGCCAAAAAAATAAATAAGAGAGAGAGAGAGAGAAAGGAAAGGGAAAGAAAGAATAGGAATAAGAGGGAAACAGGGGAAGGGCGAAGGGCTCTTGCCTCCTCCCCCCCCCCCCCGCCAAAAATAAATAAGAGAGAGAAGGGAAAGGGAAAGAAAGTATAAAAGGAAAGAAAGAAGAGGAATAAGAAGGAAAGAGGGAAACGGGGGAAGGGCGAAGGTCTCTTGCCTCCTCCCTCCCCACCCCCCGCCAAAAAAATAAATAAGAGATAGAGAGAGAAGGGAAAGGGAAAGGAAAGAGAAGATAAAAGGAAAGAAAGAAGAGGAAGAAGAAGAAGAAAAGAGGGAAACGGGGGCGAAGGGCTCTTGCATCCCCCCGCCAACAAATAAATAAGAGAGAGAGAGAGAGAAGGGAAAGGGAAAGATAATAAAAAAGGAAAGGAAGAAGAATAAGAAGAAAAGAGGGGCTCTTGCCTCCTCCCCCCTCCCGCGCCAACAAATAAATAGAAGAGAGAGAGAGAGATAGAGAGAAGGGAAAGGGAAAGGGAAAGAAAATATAAAAGGAAAGAAAGAAGAAGACGGAAAGAGGGAAACGGGGGAAGGGCGAAAGGCTCTTACCTCCCCCTCCCCCCTCCCGCCATAAAGGGAAAGAGAAGGGAGAGGGAAAGAAAATATAAAAGGAAAGAAAGAAGAGGAAAAAGAATAAGAAAAGAGGGAAACAGGGGCGAAGGGCTCTTACCTCCTTTCTTTTCTTTCTTTTCCTTTCTTTCCTATTCTCCCTCTTTTTCGTTTTTCTCTTTCTTTCTTCTCTTTCCCTTTCCTTCTCTCTCTCTCTCTTATTTATTTTTTGGCGGGGGCGGGGGGACGAGGCAAAAGCCCTTTGCCCCGTTTCCCTCTTTTCTTCTTCTTCCTCTTCTTTCTTTCCTTTTATCTTCTCTTTCCCTTTCCCTTTCCCTTCTCTCTCTCTCTCTGATTTATTTTTTGGCGGGGGGGGGGGGGAGGGGGGGGGGCAAGAGTCCTTCGCCCTTCCCCCGTTTTCCTCTTTTCTTCTTCTTCCTCTTCTTTCTTTCCTTTTATCTTCTCTTTCCCTTTCCCTTTCCCTTTTCTCTCTCTCTCTGATTTATTTTTTGGCGGGGAGGGGGGGGGGGGGGGAGTGAGGAGGAGGCAAGAGCCCTTCCCCCCCCCCCGTTTCCCTCTTTTCTTCTTATTATTCTTTCTTTCCTTTTATCTTCTCTTTCCCTTTCCCTTTTTTCCTTCTCTCTGTCTCCCCCAGCTAGGGCTGGTTTTGTTTACGAAGCGCCCGTCAGGAGAGTACACGATAGAGTACACGATAGAGTACACGATAAAATTGACGATATCGTGAACTTTATATCGTGAACTTTTCACGATAAAATTCACGATATCGTCAATTTCATCGTGAAAAGTTCACGATAAAGTTCACGATATCGTCAATTTCGTGAATTTCTTCGTGAAAAATATGCGATAAAATTGACGATATCGTGAATTTTATCGCATATTTTTCACGATTTAGTCTATTCGCGATGTCCCTTCAGGGCCACCATAGTATAGAAACATATTTGCAACTATTATATTTAGGGTGCATGTATGGTTGAAATTTTTCTTGAGGGAAAATGAAAATTTTAGATTTTTTAGTACTGAGCAAATGGAAGTTGAGCTCGCATGATACGTCATAGAGTTGCCAATTTGTGTTTGATTGATCACAACTTCAAAAATCCTAACTTCCTTATTTTTAATCGGAATTTGCTCAAACTTTCACCGACTTGTTTCTCTCATTTTTCTACTCCTATTAAAACTAACTTAATTTCAGGGTGGACTTCCCCTTCAAACATAACGTACATTTAAAATGCTAGCTAGGAGCAGGAAGCTGTAATGAATGGAGATACCTTCTCGAAAGAATTTTCCGAGGGAAAATTATTCAAGATTAACCTGGCTTAACAAAAAGAAATGTAACCCTCTCCAGCCATCATTTCCATCAACAGCTGTCCATATCAATGCACAGTCCCTCTCTGGCATTCCAAATAGTACGAAATGTTACGCAACGCCATCTGCTTCCCTAAGTTCTCTATTCACTCGTTTGCAAAAATATGCAAGCATCGGGCTTTGAAGCCATGCGTGGCACCGACAAATTAAGTCATGTTCATGGAAGATGTATTTAGCTATAACATATAAAATGCAGAATTCACAACATATGACCAATGCAACTTTCTATTAGTCATCAAATGCGTTTTCCGTTCTCGGATAGCTCTACTAAAGACATGGCCATTTTAACCAGCGAAATCGACCAAGGAAATCATGAGTTAGAGCGAATGAAAGATTTTCATAATCATGATTTTCTCATCTAATTATTGACATTTTCCGAAAATTTCCGAAATTTGTACATAGCTAGGAAGGTAGTCCAAAGGTTTATCTTCCTAAAGAACTAAATGAAATTGTGTTATATGTTTGCGCATTTATTGATTTAGGGCTAGAAGTTGTCAAGTTAGCACCACTATTCACCCAAAGTACGGGCCGGCAAAGCAAAAGCCGCCGTGCTCGCTGGGCTGGGCTGTGTGTGGAAAGGGAGGACTTAGTGCTACTAGGGAGCTGTAAGGTTTTGGAGGGGGATTAAGGGGATTACGGTAGGGGAAACAAAAGACGCGCGGTGCCACGGATGACTTCAAAGGGGCCTCTTGGACGGGATCTTCATTCATTACAGCTTCCTGGTACTAGTATATGCCGCGTGCGCATAAAATATACATTTCCTCAGGTAGACAAAGGATAATCCCTTCCCTACTATTACGTAAAAATGTGTAGAACAGGTGTCACATGCATATTCACCTGTTCTATACTTTTTTACATAATAGCAGTGAAGGGATGTTCTACCACAGCAATAGGCCATTTTCGTAATGTAGCCAAATTTAATGCATAGGTCCTTGTGAAGTGCCTCAATATATATACAAACTATTTCATTCACCTGATAAGAATAATAGTATTTCAATAGTCAGAATCCTAACTGCACACATTAGTTGTTGCCAGGTTGGACAAACATTATCGCTTGACCTACCTAGCAACACTATATGCAGTTGCATTCTGACTATTGAAATACTATTATTCCTATCAGGTGAATGAAATAATTTGTATTGAGGCACTTCACAAAGACCTATACATT